ATCCATAAATCTGCCATATAAAGAGTTTTGGTATAACAGTTCACAATTGGCTACTACTTTGTTTTCACTGGAGACTAAGATTTCTGCTAAATGTAATTAAGACAGAGGATAAGGAAAACTCTGTATGTAGAAAGGTTGGAAATATGTAAGAAAGATACAAGAATGGGAATGCATTTTGTTAAAGGTAAAAAAGGTAATTTTGTCCTAACTGAGGCAGGTTAGTTGAAAAGAAATGGCTTAGGACAGAATCTGCATGCAAAAGAACGTTGTATGTTTGTGAAGGGAAGTCTTTGGAAAAGAATTTTAGATGTGGTCAGGACAGACTATGATTGAAAGGGATTTTAAACGTACACAGGTATGAGGTTAAAAGTCTGCTTTCTCTCTGTTCGAAAATACAAGTTTTCCTGAATTGGTCTGCTCTGGATAAGACAATGTAAAACTGTTGTTTTCTCTTTGCCAACCCAGAAAAACCAGTTTCTATGTTTTGCCTTTATCAGGTCTTCTACATCTCTAATCCTATTTAGGATGTGCTTTAAAATTTTCTAAGGTTTTAACAAACTTCCCAAGATTTAAATTATAAATGGAGTCTTTTTGACTCATTAGGCCTTTTATTTGGTAAGTTACTCTGAAAGTACTGTTCAGTAAATGATAAGCCTTAGGTTACATGTGGGTAAATGCTGTAACCATTCAAGAGATGATATGCAATTCCTAAAGTTTTAATATGTTTAAATATAAGGTCACCACATGGTATTTTGATCATTGAAAAGTTATTTGTCACAGAAATAACTGACCAGATTCCATTTCTAAGTTGTCATTTTAATTGTTCATATTTTTGCAAGATAAATTTCATCTTCAAGGAGGTTCATATAAAGGATCTTTAGGACAAATCTAGGTTTTAATTTCTTTAAAATCAAAGCTGAAATGAGTAATAATTTCCAGAACTAAAATTACATTCGAATTGAACAAGAATAGTAACAAGGGACTAAATAAACCAAAAGGATGATTAGAGTTTTGTGACTCCATGTTTGAACCACCACTAACTAGTTCTGTTTGGTCTCCCAGGTTAAAACTTTCTCTTGGCGCTGGCACCGTGGGGGCAGCCGGAGCATCTCTCCGGTCCCCCCCCCCCCGTAAAAAAAATAAAAAGAAAAACTTTCTCTTAAGATATAGGATTTATTAGAAATAGGATAAAGTATTCATTTGTAAACAAATTAAAGCATTAACTTTTCTATTTAAACCATCTGAAATTCAAAAGGTGTTTCAGTAAGCATTCTTCCATGGCAATCATAGTTATTTGCTGCATAAATTCAAGAAAAATCTGTTCTTATAACAGGACACCATTAAAAATATTGGTTATTTTACCAAGGCTTTGACTAGAATGTTATATTTGAGAGACCTGCACAGACTCGGATATGACCAAACAGCTTTAAGGAACTAAGGTTGACTTCATGAAACCTGGAGCAATAAAGCCACTTGGAAATGTTGGCCTGATACCTTGCTTGCTTTGGGAGTTCCCAGCAGAGTAAAGAATGTCACTTCCTGGCAGGTGCATGAACCTCAGGATACTTTGGGAACCTCATGAAGAGGAATATGCCCAAATCCACAGGTATTGCAGGCATGTCTAATGGCAAGTACTTGTCTTGGCTTCTGGCCTGGAGAGACTACTAAAAGTTCAATCTAGATTCCTTATATGTAAAGTTTTCCAGCAAAGCAGAAAAGATCTATATGATCAATCATTATTCTTGCTGAGCTTATGTAAATAATTAGGCCAAGTTTGTTAAAACTGGACTTGTTTTGCAGACAGGTCAGTCCTGATTTGGCTACCTCTGATTAAGAAATGAAGGTTATAGAGAGGAACTATGTTTCAATTACACATCTTTGCAGATGTTAAATTATAGCTCTGATCGTCTTTAAATGAATATTGTTGCCTAAGCTAGACTACTTGAAGTAAACTTCAGAGCAATAGCTTTCCTATCTCTACACAATAGCTCAAGTATACACAATCTTTATGCTTTTTATTCTATGGGGATAATAACAGGACCTCATGGTTGTATGATTATTCAAATAACAAAAAAATGGAATTCCCCAGAAATTGTATATACCACTAGTATTTTGACCAATTCTGTGTGGCTGGGATGACAAAATTGTTCCTTTAAAGCCAGAGCATACTCCCACTGTATAGGGTCAACTACTGGCTTATGAAGATAATGGATGACCCCACTTTATGATTGGATTGGATGATGTACTTGGGGATGCACTTATTTCTTGACCAGTCTTCTACTTGCAAGTGATTCTTTGTAATTATAATACTGTTCAGGCTAGACCTCAAACCAAGAGGGCTTTTTGATGGTTTTATTCTTTAGTCATATTTATCCTAGAAGTCACCTCTACTAAGGTACAATTGCAAACAAAGGCTATAGCCAAGCATACAACAGCTCTTTTGGTAAAAAGAGCCTCAAAACTCACTACGGGACTTCCAGGATTTTAGACAGGACTGCAATATAAAATAAGCAAAACAGTATGCTTGCTCAGCAGGACTCTAAATACTTCCCAGGCAATGGATACACTCAATGAAGAATTAAGTCAGAGAGGGACTTTTCAAGAGCCACATCACTATTGACTGTCTACTACTGCTACACCATTTCTGGTGTGAGAAGCTTCCTCACATGTGTTGTTTAAACATTACAGTTAACTCCCACAAGGTGGCCCTATTAATTAATACAGAACATTTGTGATCCATTAAAACGATAAAGATATCCACTGATCTAGTCAACAAAATTGGTAACTGAAGGTCTTATATAAGGAATGTAATCATAATTTAGGGCCTAATATTTGTTTTATGTTTATTCTTTTGCATTAACTCCCACAAAGTTTGCTTTTTAATAGTCTGATAGGTGTGGGGGCCATGCAGACCGAAATTTTACCACTCAACGAAAGCCTTACTATTCAGCTTCAACCTGCTTCTCCACAATACAGGCCCTCCCATACACAGAAAACATATAATTTAAGCAACTGTATTAAGGAGAGCTTGCAATAAGCCTATTAATCAATGCAACTTTACACCTCCCATCCCCAACTAATGAATTACATCTGCCAAGAGGATGGGCCATATTTTGCACTTTGTAATATGGCCTATTACACCATTCCTAAACAATTCTCGAAGTTCTGTACTAGGGGCAGGCTGGGATGGTTACTCTTCCCATTCCCAGCAGCCCCTTACTGAGAACTACCTCATCTACCCCATGTGGTTCTCATATCAGATGGGGAAACAGCGCTAGCCCTCTCCCTTGTGGCTCTCCCAGCACTAGGAAAAGTCTTACACCATCAGACCCAACAAATTGTTTGCCTACTGAGAACTCTGAACGACAAGTCTCAAGTGTTAGACGGCCTAAATCAAGAACTAAGTGCAGTTAGGGCAGAACTTCTAAAGAACTGGGCCACTATTGATTACTACTTCAACGTCACCTTAAGTTGTAAAGAGTTTTTACGTATGTGCTGTTTTAATATAACCGACAATTCTCATAAGGTCTCACAATCAATAAATGACATTCAAGCTCAACTAGACAAAATCAGTCTCTCCAGGATTATTTTATTGGTTTGGAAACTGGGGTCAACATTTCAGAGTTGCTGTTTTACTCCTAGAAATAACTTAGATTTTGTCTTTTCCTCTGGGTTTGCCGGGGCCTATGTCTTTTGATGCCTTCCAACATCTCCTGGGAGCCATATCGTGGACCTCGACTGACCCCTGAGAATGCTCTGCCTTTGTCCTCCTCCTCCTCCTCCTCCTCCTCCTCCTCCTCCTCCTCCTCCTCCTCCTCCTCCTCCTCCTCCTCCACCACCACCACCACCACCGCCGCCGCCGCCGCAGGCCGCCCCTTTCTGCCTGAAGCAGCCAGAGGAGTCATCCTCCCATTCCCTAACGGCAGTTAGGGTTACTATTCCAGGAGGAGGAATGATGTAAAAAATACTATTAGCTGATTATTCATTCCAAAAGGTGTAATTTTCCTGATAGCAGAATTAACTATCCTTGACGAGATCTCACGTGAACCTTTCTCAGCACCTATCACATCCCAAGTAAATAGCCCTGGCATCTAAGTATGTAGACATTGCTTCTCATGAAAAGGACCCAGCACACCCCATTTCCCAAACAAGACGAGAGCAGCTGTCCTTTGACAGTCCGTACAATCACCAGCACCCTGGGCAGGTCCGTGGCCCTACTGGGAGCGGGGGCGGCGTAGGCCGGACCCCCTCACACCCCTCTTTGTGCCGCTGTCGTGTCCCCCCCCCCCCACGCCCTGCTCCGACCTACGTGGGGCCCTGCTGGCAAAGCGCCAGCACCACCCCCTGCCCCCGCCCGCCCCAGGCCGGCTCCTCCCGGGTCTCCCTTGGGAGGTGGGCGTTCGCGGGGCTGGGGGGGAGGACAAGGCCCAAGGGCAGCCAGGAAAAAGGGGGCCGCGGGGCGGGAGGCAAGGCCCGGGGCTGCGGGGGCAGGGGGCCGCGGCGGGGGTCCTCCAGCCGGAGGAGGGGGCCGCGGGGCGGGAGGCGGGGCCCGGGGCTGCGGGGGCAGGGGGCCGCGGCGGGGGTCCTCCAGCCGGAGGAGGGGGCCGCGGGGCGGGAGGCGGGGCCCGGGGCTGCGCGGGGCAGGGGGCCGCGGCGGGGGTCCTCCAGCCGGAGGAGGGGGCCGCGGGGCGGGAGGCGGGGCCCGGGGCTGCGCGGGGCAGGGGGCCGCGGCGGGGGTCCTCCAGCCGGAGGAGGGGGCCGCGGGGCGGGAGGCGGGGCCCGGGGCTGCGCGGGGCAGGGGGCCGCGGCGGGGGTCCTCCAGCCGGAGGAGGGGGCCGCGGGGCGGGAGGCGGGGCCCGGGGCTGCGCGGGCAGGGGGCCGCGGCGGGGGTCCTCCAGCCGGAGGAGGGGCCGCGGGGCGGAGGCGGGCCCGGGGCTGCGCGGGGCAGGGGGCCGCGGCGGGGGCTCTCCGTGGGGCGGCCTCCGTGGTCGCGGCCTTACCCGCCGAGGGGGGCGGCTCTCCCGCGCCGCCGGACGCCAGGGTGACGGCGCCGTCCCTCCAGACGCGGATCTGCGCCGCTGAGCGCAGGCGGCCCCGGGGCTGGCGGCGGCCGGCGTCCGCGGCGCGCAGGGAGGCGCAGCACTGGTAGCACACGGCCCACGCCTGCTCCTCGTTGATGGGCTGGTTGTAGAGCCGCAGGATCTCCTCCAGGCTCAGCGCGTCCGGAGGCCCGCCAGCCGCCCCGGGGTCCGCCGGCCCCTCGCCGTCCGCCGGCTCCGCCCGGGGCTCCCCGCCGCCCGCCGGGCCCGCCGGCTGAGCCATCCCGCGGGTCGGCGCTGCGCACGGCCGCCGCGCCGGGCGCCGGCGTCTCCTCGGCTCGGGAGAATCGTCTGGGCGCGCCGCCGCCGCCTCATCCCCGGAGCCGCCCCGCCCCGCCCCGCCCCGCCCCGCCCGGCCGCGCGCGCCGCCGCCACGCCAGCCCGTAGCGACGCGAGGGCGTCCGCCGGCCCCGCCCCGCGGCCGGGCGCGCTGCGCGTTCGGTGCCGGGTCCGCCCGGCTCGGAGCCGGTGCGTGCGCCGCGTTGCCCGCCGCGCCGAGCCGCGCCGAGCCGAGCCGAGCCGGGGGGGGCCCGGGCGCTGGATCCCGCCGCGTCCGAGCAGGAGCTCGACGTCAGCCTGAAGCAGGTCCTCACGAAGGCCTGGGAACGAGGCCTCGGCCACAGCCGGGCCGCCCGCCGGGCGCGGGTCCTGCGCCTCGCCCGAGCTCCGCGCCGGTGCTCCTGGTGCACGGCCTTCGCGCTGCCCCCGGCCTCGTTCCCTCGTCATCCTCCGGACCCTCCTCTGCTCTTTTGGGAGTAGCTGTCGCCATCAATATGCCGTGTAATTCACTTAGGGGTATTGTTTACCGAACAGGTCCTCGCATCTTCGTTGTAAACCCCGTGACCTTTTGTGGGTGTTGGTCAATTCCCCGATCAGGGCCTGGGATATAAACACGTAAATACTTTGTAGCCACGCGTTTCGCTAAGATAACGTCTCCTACGATCACACTCATTCTAGTCCAGTTAACCCAGGATGTTCAGACGATTTGGAATTAACGTCACAGTGGCCACATTGAAATGAGGGCAATTAGCCACAGAATGAAAGAAATACTGTGCTCCCCAGAGCCTCGCTGAATTCATGAAGTCATACAACATAACACGATTCTTAGATAAAATAATCACTTAACGAGCTTAATTGGTAACTTTCCACTTTGAGGCTAGTCCTGTGTAAGAACCTGATAGAGTTGAAAGCATCCACCAAGTAAGAAATTTATAGTAACTACCAACAAAACTTTTAAGGCAGTTTTGTGTGTAATATTAGATCTTAGACTCTTCACAATTGCATCTTGCAGTAAAAATTACAATGATCTATGATAAATGCTTAAGGTACTATAGTGCATACAGCAGTAGGAGGGAGAAGAGAGAAAAGCAAGAGGATATTTTTAAACAAAAAGAGGAGGGATCCCTGGGTGGCGCAGCGGTTTGGCGCCTGCCTTTAGCCCAGGGCGCGATCCTGGAGACCCGGGATCGAATCCCACGTCGGGCTCCCGGTGCATGGAGCCTGCTCGTGTGTGTGTGTGTGTGTGTGTGTGTGTGTGTGTGTGTGTGTGTGTGTGTGTGTGTGTGTGTGTGTGACTATCATAAATAAAAATTTAAAAAACAAAAAAAATAAGTAAACAAGTAAGGAATTGAAAGGGGAGAAAAATGTTTCTCCTTAGTCACCTTATCATAATTTTACTACAAGAGATACAAAACATCCCCTTAACATCAATTATAGGTTCTAATCCCATCGTAAGAATGCATTGTGTGCCAGAGCCCTAAGAAGAAAGGCATAATTCCTTATATGATATAGATAGGATGGATAGATATGGATGTATAGATACATAAATCATCTTGATTGAAAAACTGGTAAAACATACTCAAAATTTGCTATTTTAAAAGTTTAGATCCTGTGTGTATTTTGAAAATACAGAGGGCTTTAAAACAATTTGAACTCCGAAGAACAGCTAACTGATCTACTTTTATGGACAACACCACCCTCTCCTGGCCTTACAGGATATTGCTGTCCTGTTGCACTTTGGCAGCTACAACCAAAATCAATTACATTTTTGTCCTTACCTTTACTCCCCCACACAAAAGACAAGTTAAATGAATTAGTCAGCTAATGAATCCATTAGCCAGTCACTTGCTACTACAGGGCAATAAATAAATCTCCAAGTAAATATAACAATGAAGGGAAGAAGGAAAGGAGTGGAAGTGAAGAAAAATACAAAAATATACGTCAAATGTTATCATTAAAAGGTGTATTATTTAAAACAAATTCAGAACAGAGATTTTCTTCCTTCCCCAAATGGTAATTTTTAAACACATTTTAGGAAGAAAAACATTATGGCATTGAATCCCAGGAAGATTATATAAAATAGAAGGGGTTTCCCCCCCCCAGATACAAATTCATGACTGATAAACTGTATTTAAAATAAGTGTCTTGCCTTTGCGAGCTCTATGGAATTAAGTTGAGGCAATATTACAAGCAGAATGCAGAAACAATAAAAGATAAATCCTAAAAATCCTAGCCATCTTCTATGATAAACCTATTATATAACATGAACACTTGGTACATTTTTATACAAAGACAGTATGATTTTATATGATTTTCAGAACCCTTTGAAATTTTGATGAGCCCCATGGCCATCATCGTAAGACTGAGAAGGTGACTGCTGACAACTCAAGACTATCAGAGGTCCATCTTTTCTCAGGACTCAAGCAGGACTGTTGAATAATGTGGCACCTTACCGTTTTTTCATTTTTAATTCAAATTCAAGAATTCAAATGTCTTTTTTGCATGGTATATTTTGTTCCAATTTCTGTCATTCATTTTATTTTTTTATTCTTGGCTTCACCGCTTAAAAAAAATATTGCTCTGTATACTTAAAATGTCTGAACAATGCAAGTCAACATGTAAATGTCTTTTACAAAGGGCTGTAAAATCTGTGAAAAATAGTGGCATGTGCTACTCTGAATATGATTTTAGTTTTCATTGATTTTATTGTTGCATTTATTAAAAATGGAATCCTTGAAATTTTTTATCTTATATTTACTTATCATTTTTGCAGAATAAATGTACTTCATGCTTCATACTCTGGACATGCTGGCTGAGCTGCTCTGTGTCTTTCAGGGAGCACAATCTGCCTGTGCAGCCCAAGCTTAATCCAGTCACTCCCAGACAATTGCTCCTAAGAGGCACATTCACCTAGAAAAGTGCACCAAAAAGGAAAAAATAGAACAGCATATTTTTTTCAGTGGCATAACCTAAATTTTCATTGCCCACAATTATAATACTTTATAATTTTAAAGTGATAATTTTATACTTTCAAAGTGCTTTCTTCAGTTATACAACCTTTAGGTCAGTTATTATTATCCCTGTCTTACAAATGACAAAATATAGGACTAGTAAATTAAAGTGGTGGGACTGGAATCCAGGCCTCCTGACCAGCTGAGCTCTTTCTGCTGCTTATCTCTCTCTACATTTGCACAGAGCAAGAAAAACATCCTCACACTTCATTCCTCACTCCACCAAGCAGATGCTTTAAATTTGTACGTACCACTATGATCAACCAAATTTTTGGTATTTTAAATATTTTGAATGAATGATGCGATGCCCCACCTCCCTCCATTGGATCTTGTGAGTTCATTGGCATTCAGTTTCACCATAGCAGTAACTTCTCCATAGTGATTATCTTCAAAAGGATCTATAATAAGTCCATCCCCATCAAAGAATTGCAAATTATCACTCCCCTAAGGAGGCTAATTCCATCAATAATCCTAAATGCAATTTGAAACTTATGTCTTGTAATTTCAGTAATCAAACTGAATATTAACCCCAAATTTTTAAAATTAGTCATGAAAACTTGCAAGCGACCTCAGACATAGAACCAGAAGTATATACACCAGATAAGAACACAAAATTGGATTCTTCTGGTCTAAATTTGTATAAGAATTAACTTTTGTATCCAACGGCGAAAATATTAAGAAACATTTAGAAAATACCCATGAATGTCCTTTTACTAAGTGGAACCCTAAACTAGTATTTTCCACAACACATTCATTCTGTAGCATTTAACATATTCAAAAATTACCTATCCTACCTTAATGAGATCAAGTTACGAACTCACTGATAAAAACTGAGGAAAAGTAGAGGAATGAGGCAAAATATATGAACAGTGGCATATTAGTATTTTCATGAAGGATTCTGGAAAATACTAGTTCAAAGAATAGTCATGTGTCACTTGATTAATGTGTGATTCTCCTTTGAAACAATTCTTTTTAAACCAACAAAGAGAGATGGTCTTCTGATTCTGAATGTAAGTAGAATTATTACCTTCAGTTAGTGAAGAAGATTCAATTTAGGAAAGACCTCACAGATCTAAATTTGTGGCCAAGCCACTATTTTACACTTATAAAAATTGGAGTCTGCACAAGTTAAGTGACTTAACTCAAATTACTAACAGTTGACCAAAATAATTTAAATATACTTCCTTTAACATAAACTTTCCAAATCCTGTTTTTTAGCCATATTACCCATCAAATTTCAAGTTAGGATAAGCAGTAATTTATTTCTTAATTCCAATTGAAAATAAAAAACAATACAAAGCACAAAAATATCATTCTTTGATAGCAAAATTTTGATGTTTGACAATACTGCTTGAAAGTGTAAAATTCTCAATAAAACTTTTAAGAAAATAGAATTTTAGATTGTATAAATTAAAAGGAATCCATTTTCAGACTGAAGTCATACTTTGTTGATGAGACAAAGCTAGAATGTTTTTCCAAACCTCCATATTTAATTTTTGCTAAACTTTATACAAAAATGGATGGCCCTTTCTTGTTGTTCAAAAGATTGTCTTTTTTTACCTAAATGTGAGTAGGAGTATGGAGCTGCTCTGGGCTCCAATATTCTACTGTGACTCTGTGAAAGGCTCATTTCTCTTCCAAGGTCAATACGTAACTAACAAAAAATATGGCTTACTTTAATTCAATTATATAAGCAATGAATTAAGCCTTGCTTTGGTAATTTTTGTGGAAGGGTATAAGTAGGGCTGTACTCATTATATTTTAGTAGTGCTTTTCCCTCAGGTTATTCCTTGAAGCTATTTTCTTAACCTGAATTTCTGTGTACAATTTTTAATTGTACTGATGTTGTAGGATTATAAATATTGGGCTGAATTTCCTCAGCTAAAGCAGAGCATTTAAAGCACATCCCGGGAATCCTGGATCACGCCCTGAGCCAAAGGCAGACATTCAACCACTGAACCACCCAGGATGGCTCAGTACTTGGGAAGAAAAAAAAAAAAACACTTTAGTACCTCAAGAACACAAACATGAAAATGAAAACGACCCACAGAATGGAAGAATATATCTACAAATCATATATCTGATAGGGGACTTGCATTTAAAATACATAAAGAACTCTTAGAACTAAATAATAAAACACAACCCAATTTAAAAATGGGCAATGGATCCAAATAGACATTTCTTCAAGAAGATATACAGATGGCCAATAAGCACATGAAAGAATGCTCAATATCATCAGCCACCAGGGAAATGTAAATGAAAACCACAAGGAGATAATTTCATACCCAACTAGAATGACTAGAATCAGAAGAAAGTCAGATAACAAGGTGTTGGCAAGATCGTGGAGAAATGAGAACCCTCATCCACTGCTAGTGGGATTAGAAAGTGATGCAGCTGCTTTGGAAATCTATTGGCATTTCACTAAAATGTTGGTTATCATATGACCCAGCAATTCCTTTCTTAGATACACACACAAGAGAAATGAAGACACATGCCCACATAAAACCTCATATACATGAAGTTTATAGCAGCATTATTTTTACTAGCCAAAATGTGAAAACAACCAAAATGTCTATTGACTGTCAAATGGATAAATGATATATCCGTACAATGGAATATTATTTGCCCATAAAAAAGGAATGGCATTATACATGCTACAACATGGATAAATCTTAAAGACATTAATTATGCAAAGTGAAAGAAGCCAGTCACAAAAGACCATATGTGATTCCATTTATATGAAAATCCAGAATAAGTAAATCTACATAGAAAGTAGATTAGTGGTTGTTTAGGGCTAGGGAGCAAGGAGGGAGGGAATGGGGAGATGGGAAAGTAATAGCTAAAGGCTACAGGGGTTCTTTTTGAGGTGATGAAATGTTCTAGTATTGATGGATGATAGTTGTATCCCCAAATACAGTATAAACCACTGAATTGTACACTTTGAAACAGTGAATTGTTACATGTAAGTGATCACTAAGTTCTATTCCTGAAACCAATACTACACTATATGTTAACTTGAAATTTTTTTAATTTTTATTTTTTATTCATGAGAGACACACAGAGAGAGAGAGAGAGAGAGAGGCAGAGACACAGGCAGAGGGAGAAGTAGGCTCCATGGGAGGAGCCTGATGCCAGACTTGACTCCAGGACCCTGGGATCACGCCCTGAGCCGAAGGCAGATGCTCAACCACTGAACCGCCCTGGTGCCCCTAACTTGAATTTAAATAAAAACTTGGAAGAAAAAAATGGTTAAAATTGTATGGTAGGCAAATTATGTCAATAAAGCTGAATTAATGATAAAATCTATTTGCTTATATTCAAATCAAATAGATCATCTAACTTCTGACAATCATCTTCTAGTTTCATGCTCCCATTGCTCCCATTCCCATGGTGTACAAGGAAAAGATTTTGTAAAAATTCGGTAACAACTGACCAGTTACATCTAATTTGTAAATAAATTCAGAATTTCAGAATAATGCTCTCAAAATACAGACAATAGGACTAAAATATTTTCTAGGTGTATGTTAGTTGGGACTATCCCTGGATCTGTTTACTGAAATCTCTCTTAGGTATACAAATAGTCGAATTCTACACCACCAAGAATCTTAAGCAGCTCACTGCCCCTCTAAGGGCCTCAGCTTCCCTAGGCCATCTTCCCTAAAAAGTAATTCTGGCCTCATGTCAGTGACTTGATACCCTAAATGTTAACTGTAATTTTTGATAGGTTATATTATGAGTACCATTAAAGACAGGTGCCTTCCATATTTCTATGTCTTGGGTACAACCACTAAAATGAAAACTTTCCATTCTATGTTGGATGGTTACTTGGTCATACCCAATAATGCCCACAGAGAGAAAAACTCACATTATGCAGATATAGCAAAAGGAGTAAACTCAAAGCCAGAACTTGATTTTAGAGCAGATCTGCTATTTGAGTTATATGTGTTTGGACAGGGAACTTCACTTCTCTAGATCTCCATTTCATTACTATATATATTATGTGGACTAGAAGACCTAAGACTCCTTTCAAGTCCAAAATCCTGTAATTTTAGGCCATGAAATATTAGATCATGTATAAAAACAGCCTATATATAAAGACAGTTAAAACTCTAGTTTCAGATACAAAACCAAAAAAACAAAAATGAAAACAAAACTAGTTATCTTCAAAAGCACTAGGAAATATCTGTTTTGGAGTATTAATATGAGTATTCAGTAGAATCAGAGACAAAATCTTTTCTAAGAATATATGTGAACTGGGACACCTGGGTGGGTCAGTCACTGATTTCGGCTCAGGTCATGATTTCAGAGTCCTGAGATCAAGCCCCACATTGGGCTCTGTGCTCAGCATGGAGTCTGCTTAAGGATTCTCTCTCTCCCTTTCCCTCTACCTCTCCCCCCCACACACACTGCTCACTCTCTCTAAAATAAATCTTTAAGAGAAAGAATATATCGTGAACTAATGACCAGCTAATAACCTCCTCTATTTCCCTCCTAATATCAATGACTACTTCAACATTGGTGTCATGTAGTTAATTCACAAACCAAATACAAGTCAAATGTAATTATGACTATGCCAACCAAATCTCAGGAGAAAACATTAATACCCAACATTTATATGCATTAGTGATAAGTCAACTTGTTTTTTATTTTTTTAAAAGATTTTATTTATTCATGAGGGACAGAAAGAGAGGGGGCGGGCAGAGACACAGGCAGAGGGAGAAGCAGGCTCCATGCAGGGAGCCTGATGTGGGACTCGATCCCGGGTCTCCAGGATCAGGCCCTGGGCTGACAGCAGCACTAAACTGCTGAGCCACCCGGGCTGCCCTCAACTTGTGTTTTAAATGTAGAACATGCTATAAACAATTTAGGTTCTTCAAAATTAGATGGCTTCTAGTTTATATGTTTGTCTGTTTATTTTATATAAGCTTTGACTAATCTCAAATTATTTCTCCACTATCAACAGAAACAACAGCTAGAAAGCAATGCTACTTTTTCATTGACTTAAAAGAGCACGTTTAAAATTAGATCATTTAATATCTGTACTTATCTCTTTAAGTAGAAAGGACAAAATTGTTATCTAATAGTCAAAAACAATTAAAAACCTGACAACTGTAGTCTAACCTAAATTATGTTTTTTTAGCACAGCATGAAATCAAAAGTGCTAAATCGGCAACTTAGAACTAATGCCTTCTGATGGTCAGTTATATAGCACAGAATACTTTAATAGCAAGTGTTTTCAAATATAAAGCCTACTTTTCATTTGGTTCAAATTTTGTCTTTTTTTTTCACTTTTTTTTAAAATTTTTATTTATTTATGATAGTCACAGAGAGAGAGAGAGAGAGAGAGAGAGAGAGAGAGAGAGAGAGAGAGACAGGCAGAGGAAGCAGGCTTCATGCACCGGGAGCCCGACGTGGGATTCGATCCTGGGTCTCCAGGCGCTAAACCATTGCGCCACCCAGGGATCCCAAATCTTGTCTTTGTTAAGAAGTAGAAAAGTGGGTTTAAAATATGTATTTTCCAGAACTGCCAGGTTTCAGGTGTTTTTGCAGATCATATCAAAAAATGTACACCTCAATAGTAGAAAAAAGTTCCAAGGCATTTGGAGTGTTCACTTAGTTGGAACTAAATTTAGTAAGTTTTATTCAACAGGCTCATGCTTGAGTAATGAAGTTTCTAGGTTTCTGATAATCTTCTACTAAATAAATACACCTATATATTATATACACATACATATAAATGTATAGAGGACTGTATTAGTGTACATATTGTCAAAAAAGAATAAAGACATATAAAAATTATTTTACATTTTTAATAGGAAAACAACTTTTATGACAGCTAAACAGACAATGCAAATTCAATTTTTAAAAAGAAACATTAGTAATAAGAAATCTAATGATAAATTCACTAAAAGAATCTTTTGAAATAAACCACCTTTACAGAAAATAATTTCTATAGACTTTATAATGGAGTCTTCATATTGGAGTCTATTAAAGTGCATAAAAAGAAAATTTATTTTAGAATTTATACCAAAGATGCATTATGAATATACATGTGTTTTTCTGGTCCACCCAGCCTCAAAGATAACATAGCCTTAATCTTAACATGTCTGCCTTCTAGTGCCCCATAAATAATTTTATTCCAAAAGCTGAAAATTATAAGCAATTTTCCCTATTGATAACCTTATGAGTAATTCTGGTAACAAAGTAAAAAAGTCAATTCTTATTTCGCTAATTCTCTAAAGGTATGTCAGTCTCACAAGAATATCTGATTACTGTTTTCAATGAAAACTGAAAGTAGAGGGATATTTTCAGATTTTTAAAAATAAGTTAAATCATAAATATTCATCATATGTAAAAATAAACAAAAGGTAAATTTTAGGGTATCTCTAGATTTTCATTTTTTAAAAAACATTAAATCATTTTATTTACAATTAAGTGATGAAAAGAGTAATTTTGCACAGCCAACTGGTACACACTGTTGCGTTTTTTGTTTTTTTTTTAAGTTGGTTCCATGCCCAGCGTGGAGCCCAATGTGGGAATCAGACTCACAACTCTGAGATCAAGGAGATTAAGAGTCAGACACTTAACCAACTGAGCCACCCAAGTGCCCCTCTTTTTTAGAGAAAGTGTTTTTTTTTTAAGATTTTATTTACTTATTCATGAGACACACACAGAGAGAGAGAGAGAGAGAGAGAGAGAGACGGAGGGAGAAGCAGGCTCCATGCAGGAAGCCCAATGTGGGACTCTATCCTGGGACCCCAGGGTCAGGCCGTGAGCCCAAAGCAGACATTCAACCACTGAACCACCCAGGCATCCCCCCACAGTGCTTTCTTAAAAAGACCAATAGATGAAGCAACTGAATCAAGATCTATGCACAGATGCTAAATGGGCAATCCAATCTATCAATTATGTCATGCAGCTTCTTACAAAAAGTCAAACTACTACTGCTTTTTTGATGCTCACTTTTAAAACTAACTTCTAAAACTCAGTTTTAAAGCAAATATCAGCATGGAGTCCCTCACATATGCTCATTTTTCAGGGGCCTCACATAATGATTCTCCAATTTAGAGTAATTGCATATACTCTGGTGTTTTTATCAGAATGAAAAAAAAAAAGGAAAAAAGAAAAACAAATGTGATTTCATAAGATGGAATCCATAAAAAGGCCAGTAATGAATCCTCTGACTACCGAGAATCAGCAACAGACTGCCAATAATAATTACAGAAAACAGTATATCGGTGTCGTAACAAAAGGGTATGGTGAACTTCTTCTAAAATACTCAGTTCATTTTTATATAATGAATCAAACTAATGTATTTATAAATTATTCATTTATCTTTATGTGAGATTTGTTTTATTAATATTTATGCTTTTCTGGTATCAGTTTTTCCTACTCTTGCATCAGAATCTTCCCATAAATCCCTGGAAAGTCACAAACATCCCTATGGCCAATGGGTAAGCCACAAAAGTGATAGTTCACCAAAATGTATTTTCACCTATTTAACAAATCTGTTGTGAGGTTAATTTCTAATTTATATAAAATAATCCCATTAATCATTAACCTATGAAAAATAATGATCATATTGATTTTTCTATGGCTCAAACCCTTAGACAAATAAACCTCTCTCTGATTACCTGTTAATGTAAAGAAAACTGAGTAAATTTTATTTTATTCATATTTAAACTACTGAATACCTGTAAACAATGTAGCATTTATTAAAATAGACACTTAATTTATACTAAATTCCACTCAGACTTTACAAGTTTTTTATCCTTAATTTTTAAATACACACATGATTTTTTTCAAACTATTATCAATCAGGTATATACAAAAGTGAAATATGACATCCAAGCCAAAATGTGATTTTTAAAATAATGAACCTCTAAACAGCTATAATGTACAATGTGTAAAATTCCAATAAAACACAGGTAGATTCTTACAGAAAAGTTAGTCCTATAATACCGAGCGATATTTACAAGCAAACATGATCCAAACAGCACATGCAGATTCGGGGTAAGTAAACACTCGGACACGAACTGCCAGTCGCACCTGGTCTCCACGGCAACAGATTATTTCTTCACAGAAAGGAGACCTACAAAAGAAAACTTATTTAATTAAGAAGTGAACACAGATTTTACTTTATCTCCAAATAAGTCCATTCCATATTTAAAATAATTTTTAAAAATCTAGTCTCTGCAGAACATGAGAGACTCCTTACTCTGGGAAACAAACAACAACAACAAAAAAAGAAACAAACAAACAAACAAGAGGTGGTAGAAAGGGAGGTGGGCAGGGGGTGGGGGAACTGGGTGGCAGGCACTGAGGGGGGCACTTGATGGGATGAACACTGGGTGTTATTCTATATGTTGGCAAATTGAACACCAATTAAAAAAAAAAAAACACACACACAAAAAAATCTAGTCTCTGTTACCAATAGCCCTATGATTTTGGTTTAGCTATTGAAATTACACAATATTTTCTCAGTCTATAAATTTAAAAAATTACACTAGATAAGATTAGAAATCCTCAGCTGAGATAGCACCAAAACCAACGGGAAAATTATTCCAACTACCTAGAGCCACATTTCAGACCTAATGAATCACTATCTGTGGCAAGGAAAATAAATCATTATAAAAGTTCACGTGATTCTAAAGTCATTCCTAAACAACCAGACTAACAGACTGCTAAAAGTCTAGGTTAATAGGGACACCTGGGTTGCTCAGTAGGTTGTGCGTCTCTCAACTTCAGTTCAGGTCATGAGATCCACCCTCGCACTTGGGTCCATGTCTGCTTATCCCCACTCTGCCCTCATCTCCTACTCTAATTAATTAATTAATTTTAAAAAAATCTTTAAATTCCTAAGACAGTTAACATTTACAAATTCATAAATTCCACCTTACCGAAGACATGTAGCAAATGCACGCCTTGCATTTCTATAGACAAAATGTATTGGGAACCCTTTAAATGTGTGACCATCAGGTACAGCCCTCCTTATGGCATCTTGAAATTCTTCATTGCCTGCAGATATACTTGTTGTACGCTCAAATTCATAAGAAGCCAAAGCTGGTGATAAGAGATAGGAAAGCTGGTCTTCCCAAACAGTAGTGAGACCAAGATCCTTCAGCAATTGAAAGATAAAAAGGTGAAATATACTAGTATTTTAAAAACCAATTATAAGTGTTGATGATTTTAATATATTTAAAATATAAAAAATATTTTAATATAAAGCCCATCATAACTTTTTAAACTTTCTATTATGATAAGGACACGTACAAATAAAGGAACTACAGGTACCTGGTTTTACTTAGAAGAAAAAAAAGAAAAAACTTTTAATACATTGATGTTAGTACAGGCTCTAAAATCTGTACTTCCTTAATATTCACTAGAAAATACTACATGGAACAGTCCTACTATGGAAAACACAGTGCTGCTGAAATTTGAAATCACGTTTTATTTAAAGAGTAAGATTGAATCTGCTTAATTTAATTGTCCCAACACAAATTCAACTATAGTAGGAGAGAAAAGTGAACAAATGAATTACATGATAATACTAACTTTTATACCGTAAAGGGATATAAAGGTGAAAAGATATGCTTTAAGCCTTCAGGGAGCTTAAAACATGTTTCTATAGAATGTTGAAGGCATTTAAGATTTCACTTGTAGTATGAAATGAACTACATATATCTATACACGTGATATTTTAAAAACATTGTTACAAAAAAAATTTTCTCAAAAATTCTAAATATTTTGATTATCATAATAGATCTCTGCCATTTCCTGATTTTGTATTCAAGGTTTTAGCTGGTTCCAAGTAACCCCAAAGGTCTATGTTCATCTATCTTTTTTTCCGTGGCGACAAGTAAATCTCACTTGCTGGCTTACAGCCACCATTAACTTAGTGATCAACACTAGTATCTAGCTCAGTTTTTTGTTTTCTTTTTCTACATAAATTCCTATTACAATAAAATACTGGTCTTATTTGTAAACAAGACCTAGGAAAACTAAAAGGCAGTATAGTATGAGTGATGGAGGGAAACGTGCAGTAGTGAGGGGCTTTCATTCTCCGCAGTGTAAGTGAAGTAGGTCCTTGAACAACCTACTGCTGAGAACAAACTATAAGTGCCAGATTACTTTCCAAAATGCACTTCTAAAAGCTTTGATGAGTTGGCAAGTGAGTACAGCAGATTTTAGAAGCCAAACTAATAGTAATTGGAAGCCCAGAAAACATAGTTAATAAATCACTTTGCCTTTGATGCCCTCAAGGAACACAGTCAACAGGATTCACTGAAGGTGGGGAGTCTATTATGGAATCCCAAAAGATGAATTAGAAATAAATATTCTAGTCCTTTGATGGTTATGTGTTGCACCCACTCCAATCATGTTTTCATTCATTCCCTGACTGGTTTTTTCCAATGAACAAAAATTCTTAAAATATACTAATCTTTTTATATCTTTTTATGTCTGCTATGTCTAATGCACAAAAGAAATCTAAATGGCTAATAAAAGGACTGATCTCATTAATAATCAGGGCAATGCAAATTAAAGCTAGAATGAGAATATAATTTTACATCCAGCTAAATTCATGTGATAGGGCAAAATAAACAAAACCAACCTGGAAAAAAATGATTACGAAAAAAATATAACCCAGTATTTTCAGTAGGAATAATATGAATTAAGTACTCCACAGAAAAATAAATCCAAAGAGTGGTATTCAGCAAAAGTCTGAACTAGTTTATCACTCATTTCTAGAAGTAATAAATTCTAAAAGTATTAGTGAGTTTGGAAACTTTTGGTCTCAGAACCTAACTCTAATGACTTTCAAAACTACAAGCTTAAAGGCAGGAACTAAATTTGTTTTGTTCAGGGCTAGAACAGTGATTGGTACTATCCTAGCTGCCCTCCTCCCCTTATGTATTATTGTTAAATACATAAACAAATGAAAAAAATGCATGAAACTACAAATATCAGTGTTAATTACCTTCCTGTGTTCTGACACTAGCAGTCTTAGCTGCATTTCTATTTCATTACTTGTTACTGAAGCATCAATTGTGGATGCACATAGAGGGGGAAAAGGAGGAAGAGATGTTGTAGCTCCTGGAGCACACACAGATCTGATTGCTTCTTCACTCATGGGTTTCCATTTGGATTCATCATTCAAATCAAATACACAGATTTCTACTGAGTCAGAGGGCTGACAATTTCCCAGGAACATCTGATGATTGAAAACACAACCAATTGTTCGATATGGGTACAGAGGTTTGGGCTGTTCTGCAACTGGAGATTCATCAGGATTGGCAGGTTTGTGGATGTACCTAAAAAAAGTAAAGTATAACTTTATACAGTAAAAACTTAAAAATTAAGAAGGTAACATTTATTAAGAAAGATATTTAGGGCTATAACTATTTCCCAGGACTAGAGTTTAATACTTATTTTTTCTTATATTTCTACAATTTTATTACAGTAATTGTATGGCACATATGATATAAAAATCAACTTTACTCAACATGAGAATATATTCTATGTATAACCATTAAGATCAAAATCATTCATCTCAAATAACACAATTAAAATACTTTAGCTATACATTAATAGGTACAACTAACAAAAATGATTATCAACCAGGGGAAAATTAAGAAACCTAAGAAGATGGCCCAGGGCTATGCCTTTAGAAACTCCAACATTTATAGATTAGATAAAGGTGAAGTAAGAACAGCCAGATAGGAATAATATAAACTAAAAAAAAGAAAAAGGAATAATGAAAACTGAAAGACAATGCTGTGGTAGAAGCTAAGGAAAGAGATGGTTCCAGGAAAGAGGGAACACTGAACTCTTTCAAAATCTGATGGCAGTCCAAAGAACTAAGAAAAGCATACAGTGAATTTACCAATGTGGAGTTGGTGACATCAAATTTTCAAAAGAAATCATGATTTACAACAATTTATTTTTAGGCTTGGGGAAAAACATTAGAAAAAGCATATGCCAATTACAAAATTTAAAATAAGTAATTTATTTTTTAACCAATATTATATTGGTAAAGAATATTTTAGGTGTACAAATTTTCTTCAAATTAAGAGCTGTTTTAATTGAAGCAATCTTTTGCTTGGTCATAAAAAGGCTCTAATAATGAAAATTATCAATTTGTGCATTTGAGTACCATCTAATATAAACAAAGAATCTTTAATTTAAAACATTTACATCTTGGCTCAGCGGTTTAGTGCCTGCCTTCAGCCCAGGGCGTGATCCTGGAGTTCTGGAATCAAGTCCCACATCAGGCTCCCTGTGAGGAGCCTGCTCCTTCCTCTGCCTAGGTCTCTGCCTCTCTCTCTCTCTCATGAATGAATAAACAATTAAAAAAAATTTACATCTTTATTTTAATATCCTTGTAAACATGACTGACAAACCTGTGTCCTGTTAAACTCTCCCAAAAAGTGATGGTTCCATCAGTTCCACAGGTCATAACCCATGCATGAGGTACTCCTTTTGCCTTAGTCCCAACACAGACAAAGGCTTCTAATCCATATCCAAGAAGAAGGCTGCACAGAAGGTTAGCATGATCTTCACAATCACCCTAGAAAATGAATTAAGTATTTATTCCTTCACAATTTTCTCATTAAATGTTCAATACAAAATTATAACTAAAAAGCAATATTAATATTCCATTTTTTAAAAGATTTTTTAAAGTAATTTATAAACTCAATATGGGACTCAAACTCACAACTCTGAGACCGAGGGTCACATGCTCCATTGACTGAGACAGCTAGCCACCCCTAATTTTTTTCTTTTAAGATTTTATTTATTTACTTGAGAGAGAATGAGTGAGAGAAACCAAGCACAGAGGGAGCCCGATATGGAGCTTAATCTCAGGACTCTGAGATGATGACCTGAGTGGAGGCAGATGCTTAACCGGCTAAGCCACCCAGGTACCCCTAAATTTCACTTTTAATCATTAGTCTAGTGTTAAGCTGAAACAATTAAGGAGAGGGGTAAGAATACATTAATTTTAGAAGAACCTAAATTATTTTACAAAGTCAGTGCTCACAAATCTGATAATCATACTTGGAAAGGGGGCATTATTCTAAAGTTTATTTAAAAACTTAGAGGAAGAAAAGCAGCAGGATTTTAAAGATGAATAGCTAAAGAACATGAACAGACAAGATAACAAATGATACACCAAGAAATGCAAATACAGAGGAAAATACTCAAACTTAAAACAATCAGTTATGGTATCTATATGTGATCATTTTAAGGCATTAACATACTAGAAAAAAAATGAGTGAAAGAACAGCAAAATTTCAACAATGGCTATAATTATGGGAGGTTTTCTATCACTTTCCCTTCTATTTTCTAAATTTTAACATTATGTTACTTTTACAACTTAAAAATATGAAAGCTACAAAAACAGAAAATATCTGATAATCTGTAAAAAAAATCAAAATATTAAACAGTAAGGCTACAATTATATAAAGGTATGTATTTAAGTGCAGGACTATAGGTTATATACAAAAGCAAAACTATTAAGTTCAATGTTAGCAGGAAGGGTGATTTTGTATTAGTGGCTCTACACAGATGCTTTTTGATCAACTATAATAGAACCCATACCATTTTAAAATCTCAATATGGGCAGCCCGGGTGGCTCAGCGGTTTAGCGCTGCCTTCAGCCCAGGGTGTGATCCCGTAGACTCGAGATAGAGTCCCATGTCGGGCTCCCTGCATGGAGCCCACTTCTCCCTCTGCCTGTGTCTCTGCTTCTCTTTCTGCCTCTCATGAATGAATAAATAAAATATTAAAAAAACAAATAGGGCAGCCCCAGTGGCTCAGCAGTTTAGCACCTGCCTTCAGCCCAGGGCGTGATCCTGGAGACCCAGGATGGAGTCCCACGTCAGGCTCCCTCCATGGAGCCTGCTTCTCCCTCTGCCTGTGTCTCTGCCTCTCTCTCTCTCTCTCTCTCTTTCTGTGTCTGTCATGAATAAATAAATAAAATCTTAAAAAAAACAAAAACAAAAATAAATAAAATAAAAAAATAAATTAAAATAGATAAAATCTCAATAGGACTTTCAAAAAATATAATATCCATTCTTTTAGATTCAGTAGTTTCTATAATACTGAGATTTTATACTAAAAAATTTCAAAAGAAATATAATAGTACTCCTAATATTCAGTGAAAAAAAAAATTCACTCACAAAGATATAAAAAAATTAGAAGCAAGCTACTGTAGCCAAAAGAAATAGTTACTACAATGGCAAAATAGTTATGTAGATTTTGTATACCAACTAAAGAAAACTTTACATTTATCCAACCATTAAGAAATGGAAATCATAAAAACTGTAGTTAACACATGGGAAAATGTTCATAGCATAATGTTCAATTATAAAGCAGCACACAAAATTTTATGTACCTCAGTTATGGAAAAAAATGATATATACAAAGGAGAAAAATACAAAAATATTTTTAAAAGGCAAAAAACTGGCAATGGAATTATGAGTGAAATTTCATCTTTACTATTGTAATGCTCTTGTTTGTGCAAGAATATCTTTTTTAATAATTTCAAGCTTCTGGGGCACCTCAGTGGCTCAGTTGTTTAAGTATCTGCCTTTGGCTCAGGTCATGATCCTGGTGTCCTGGGACTGAGCTGCACGTTGGGCTCCCTACTTAGTGGAAAGTCTGTCTCTCCTCCTCCCTCTGATCCTCCCCAGCTCGTGCTCTCACTTGCTCTCTTTCTCTCTGAATAATTTTTTTTTAATTAAGAAAAAATAATTTCAAGCTTCTCATTTAAGATGTTTTCCATTTAAACAAACTCAGGTAAATAAAATAATGAATCAAAGGGGCAATTATTTGCTTTATGAGTGAATTATTTACAGTGATTTTTTAAATTTATTTGAGATTGAGTGTGAGAGAGGGCACAAGGAGGGAGAAGGACAAAGGGAGAGGAAAAGGGAGAAGCAGGCTCCCCAATGAGCAGGGAGCCTGACTGACGTAGGGCTTGATCCCAGGATCTTGACCAGAGCCAAAGACAGATACCCAACCAACCGAGCCACCAGGCACCTCATTATATAATAATTTTAAGTATATACCATTCCTGCTATATTTGAAATAAAAAAAGCTGAAATCCATACACACAATTTTTGAGAACCACAGCTTGAGAATAAATCAAAGTAATTTTTTGATAATGTTTAACTATTTTTTTTCCTTTTTTGGGGAGGGGGGGAGAGAAGTAGGGAAGGACAGAGGGAGAGAGAAAAAAATCTTAAGCAGACTCCATGCTGAGTGTGGAGCTGGACTCCAGGCTCGATTCCACAACACTGAGATCATGACCTAGGCCAAAATCAAGAGTCAGATGCTTAACGGTCAGAGCCACTCAGTTGCCCGTTTTCGATTGTTTTTTTTTTTACATAAAAATCTTCCTAACAAATCAATCTAAGTGAGTTAAATAGGTTCTTCTACTGTATAAGCTTTGCTTTGTGAATGAAGACTCATACTACATATACAACCTCAGACCAAAAAATATTATTTCAAAACAATTTTTTTCTATTTCAGAACTGAAATGCTAAAGATAGTCTTGTTTTTATATTATCATTTTAGAACAGAGATTAAAAATATCAAATTACCTATAAAATTCATTTACTGAAATCAATTTAACATCAATAAATGTACGCAAATTCTTAAATATATACTTACACTTGAAACTAAACAAAATACCATGCAATCTAAGATTTTCTTCCATATTCCTTTTGTACTTCTATTTTCCCTTTTAAAAAAAAGTATCATCGAAGTAGCTTTTAACACATGAATAGTACTAGAAAGACCATGATTATCCCAGCATTGTCTCTAATTCAGTTGAATTTACCTCTGTATCTTGATTTCTGACATTACAATACTTATCTCCACCTCACAAAAATCATATTATGCTAAGAAACTATACAAGAAAATAAAAACGCTTTTTATGTATTAAAAACAAGAGACTGACTAGTTCAAACTGATCATTTATCCATTTTTCTAGGTTAATTATTTTCAAATATGATAAATTCACAATAACTATAATGTATTGCTGTTTATTTAATTCTATTAGAAGTGCAGAGTACCTTGTTTCTACAGAGAAAGGCCAGCAGAGTGCACCACTGTTCCTGTTTACCTCCTCCTCCAATAACAGGGGCTCTTTCATAACCAAGGACATTAACAAATCTCGCTGCTTGCCTTGGAGTATCCAGAAGCCTCCCAGCTCGAAGTGGTTTAATATAGGAACAAACTGGTCTGTTTATCCCATTTTCATCCTGAGGGAAGAGGGAAAAAATATTAACTGTAGGATAGATTATTCCCAATATTAACACCTTTTCTTAGAATATATTAATGTGGGATAAAATAATTCTGGATACCATTTATTGAGTGCTTACCCTGCATCCAGCAGTGAAGTGCTACACACATACATCTCTTTTAATCCTCTTAATATCTCTTACTATTTTCATTGCATAAATGAAGAAATTGAAGCTACAATATTATGCAACAGAGCCAGAATTCAAACCCCAAGCTATCTCCAAAACTTGTGACAGTTAAGGACCTGAACTACCATGATTCAGCAATGTCACTCTGAGATATCTGTAGCAACTGAAATCAATATCTCAAAAAGACATCTATCTTCACATCCATGTTCACTGCAGCATCAGTCACAATAGTCAAGATATGGAAACAAGTGAAATGTCCTTTAATGGAAAAATAAGTGAAAAAATGTGGTATTACCCATACAACAGAATATTATTTAGCTATATAAAAAGGAGATCCTGCCATTTGTGACAACACAGATGAATTTGAAGGGTATTACACAAAGTGAAATAAGCCAGATAGAGAAACAAATCTTGTATGGTTTTCCTTACATGTGGAATCTTAAAAAAAAAAAAAAAAAAAAAGCTGATTTCATAGAAATAGAGAATAGAATGGTGATTGCCAAGGATTAGACAGAGGGAGGAACAGAGAGATATAGGCCAAAGGGTACAGATTTTCAGTTATAAGAAGATTAAGTTCTGAGGATCTAATGGAAAACACGAGAGTAATTAATACAGTAAACTTGAAAGCTGCTAAGAGCAGATCTTAAGTCTCCTCACCACATAAGAAAGAGGTAACTATGTAAATTGATGGATGTGTTTATTATCTTGATCTTGATAGGCATTCCACGATGTATATGTATAGCAAATATACATATATATTGTACACTTCAAATATATACAATTATATTTGTCAATTACTCCTCGATAACTTAGAAAAACAAAAGGACTCTTCTGAAAACAGAACAGGCAGGTGGGTAGGGGATGGAGAGGGGATCTAAGTCACAGTATCCTTTCATATTATCATAAAGAACTTAATACTGTATATCCAAACAGAATAACTCTTCTGATTTACTAATATAACAACAAATTATCAGAGCTCATTTTCAGTTTGTTTCCATTACACCTGGAGATCCACAGGAAACAAGGATTTGTTAACCAAGTCAACTGCAAGCAGAGTTCTGAAAATCATTTAAGGAAAACATTTTACATTTTTAAATATAAATATATGATGTATCCTAGCATTTAAGGTAACTACAGTGCATACAAAAGTCTCTGGTGATGGTCCACCACTGTGCGTTTAGAGTTAATATTACCAAAGCCTGCATATCCCTTAACTTCATGATTACTGAGATGACAAAATCAAAACACTATTTTCTATTCAAAATTCAAAGACAATTTAACACACTGTGTCATGGCAAGGCTCCTCAGAAACAAAGTCTAACTCAGCTAACAGAAAAACAACTGTTTTGATTATCAGAACCAATGATGTCTTTCTATAACCACAAAAACATCACCTCTCCACTATAATCCCAAACCTTAGGAAGGAAAACAAAACAAAACACCCCTTTTACATTTAATTATAGCAAGAAAGATAATAAATTTTTTGATGTAGAGCGAAGTATTATTATGATTTGACTTTTAACTATGGTTCTCAATTCTAAAAGGCACTGATTTTTTTTTCCTTGTCTCTCCCACCCCACTATTACCTCCATGGCTCAAATACATCCATGGTGATCTCTTTCTTACTCTCCATCTCCCCATACAATCTTGGGAGTCAGAAATAGACAGAACAAAGGAATCAGCTAAAAAAAAAGCTCAAGTAGAATGAAGAATCAAAGACAATTAAGGAAACTAAGGAACAGAGGAAGACAAGAGATTTAAGCAAAGGGTGTTTCATGGCATTTATTTTATTTCTTTTAAAGATTTTTATTTATTTATTTATTTATTTATGAGAGACACAGAGAGAGAGGCAGAGACACAGGCAGAGGGAGAAGCAGGCTCCCTGCAGGGAGCCCGATGTGGGACTTGATTCCAGGATCCTGGGATCACAACCTAAGTAGACACTCAACCACTGAGCCACCCAGGTGCCCCCATAGCATTCATTTTAAAAACAGAAAACCATGATTCTAATTTTGGAGGGAAGTAGAAAACTATTATTTGGATTTCTTTCATATTAACTCAGTGTTATTACTGATCTAGTATAGTGTTGGAATATTAAGTCTTGAAATCACAATCTGAATATTAGAAGGATAACCTCAGTCTTCAAGTGATTTACAACACTTTTTTTATCTTTTAAAAAAGATTTTATTTATTTATTCATGTGAGAGAGAGAGAGAGAGAGAGAGAGAGAGAGAGACAGACAGACATAGGCAGAGGGAGAAGCAGGCTCTATGCAGGGAGCCTGATGTGGGACTCAATCCTAGGACTCCAGGATCATGCCCTGAGCCAAAGGCAGATGCTCAACTGCTGAACCATCCAGGCATCCCTATAACATTTTCTTAAATCTTAATGGTCAATTTCTATAACTTATTTTAAAATTTCTTGCACTAGAAAATTTAAGTTATCGTTAATTACTATTGTACTACAGTAAAACAAGCAAGGGAGGAAAAATAAGTACAACAGATTATTATGTTTAAGAACTTGGAGGATTCTACAGCTGTTACAATAAAGGTAATTAACTGAGTTCCTGAGTGGGCCATTTAGTCCTATTCTTACAACTTCACTATCAGAAAGGAAAGGAATGAGTACCTAAAAAGTGGATGCATTTACCCTAAGACAATCATCAAAAGTAGCATCTTAGAATACAAGATATATCATTGTTTCATTACAGCAGTATTTCTCATATTAGCCATAATACATCAAATGAAGGGTCTTGAAAATTTCAATATTTCAGCTTCTAAACCTGCACTGTCCCATTAAGAATGCCACTAACCCTGTGTAGCTATTTAAATTTTAATTAAAATTAAAATGTAAAATTCAGTTCTTTATTGCAACATTTTGTACACTCAATAGGTCAATGGCTATCAATCATACTGGACAGCACAGAGAACATTTCTCTCACTGCAGAGAGACAGTGTTGCTGTAAATTATTTTCTCTTATGCCTAGAAGCACTGGAAATTCATTTTCAGACCATGTATAATAATTTTTTGGTTTAAAATTTTTTGTGCAGTTTTTTTGTGCAGTTTTTGTGATTAGATTGACTGTCTTAAATAAATGCTATTGTTTCTTAACTTCATATCTAGTCAAATATAGAAAGCAGCAGCAAAGATACTTCTGGGGAACTGAAGTAAGATAAACATTTATTTACTCTCTATATGTCCAGAGGTGGTCCAGTCAAACCAAAAATGCCCTAGTCAAAACTGCAACTCAATGGAGTCTCCATGACTGGGCTGCTATTTGATCTTAGGAAAAAATCTTCACTCTTCTATTCTTTATACTATTTAGTTTTTACAAAATAGTAGAAACTTCTGGCCAACTGACAATCTCATATTGTTACCATGAGACTAAGTGACCTTATGTAGTTCAAATCTTACAACGAATTCTAAGAGATGGAAACTTGTTTAAGTAGTATTTCCTTAAAAAAAAAAAAAAAGAATTTGCATAACTGCATATCTCCTCCTATTCCTCTTCCTCTTTCCTTTGTCATTTTTCTGGTCTACTTACTCATCCACTCATTCTTCTCAAGTCCCAGATTCCTTATATAACCTCACCTCAGACTAAACAGCAGAGAGCCAGTTATATTTTGACTGGTTTCTCTTTGCCCCATCCTGGCATCAATGCTATCTTGTCTGCCCTGTTAAACAATGCATAGACAATGCTACTGAAAAGCAAGAAGCCATTTCCCACATTTCCATCCCTACTCAACTAGGCTCTCCCACTTCTAAGCTCCTTATCTACAAACTGACCTACTCTTAGTCCATCCTACTATGTAGGGTAAAACTAGATGAATGTACAGGATCTGAGAAAGATCAGTCAAAATAATACCACACTATAACTCTTATAAATGCATCTACATAAGGCTAACTATATATAAAAAATTTGAATGGTTCCTCAAAAGTTACAAAAAACATGGATCTGATCATATATTTTATTCTGATTTGATAATGAGAGAAAATAAGGTTAGGCTGTAGGAAAAATAGAAGCATATCTATATATAACTGAAATGCTGCAGTTAAATATTGCTTGTCATAGGCTCAGAGATGGTGGCTATATAGAATTATTACATATAAGACTGTCTTTAAGAAAATAGCCTAACAAAATATATTTCTAAACATATGTGCCCATAGCCCCAATTCTGCACATCAAAGCTGAATTTACATTATCAACTGCAAAGTATTCTAGTATTTAATCATTTAGTACTAAATATCACACTCCAACTTAAACAAAATGGGTTTTTATCTATTTTAAATCAAATATATTAAAAAAAGGTTTAAAAAAATTGAAATGAGGGACACCTAGGTAGCTCAGCAGTTGAGCATCTGCCTTCAGTTCAGGACATGATCCCAGAGTCCCAGGATTGTGTTATGTATCAGACTCCCCACAGGGAGTCTGCTTCTCTCTCTGCCTGGTGTCTGCCTTTCTCATGAATAAACAAAATCTTTTTTAAAAAACTGAAAATGAAAAGCAAAATAAAATACTGCGTTACATCACCTACTCAGCGAAAGAGAATATTACAAAATCATATTCAATTTTTACAAATAAACTTTCATTTGTCAGGAATACATTTTAACAATTCACCTTAAATGAAACTTACATATACAACAGTAAATATTAAACACAAACCTGTGCAAAAATCTTGACCAGCCGTGAGTTGTGTGAGGGTCGAATTTGCAAATATTCTCTCCACCACTGCTTTGCATATACAAGAAATAATCGCTCTTTCTCTGCAGTTTTCTGACGTTCCAAAGCAAGCTTGAAATTTAAAAAATATGTATTTTTCCTCCTTAAATACTATAAAATAATTAACAATTCTACATACTTCCCTCCATCTCTATCACCACCCTAACCCAAGCCATCATCTCCATCATCTGTAACAGCTTCCTGACGGACTTCCCTGTGTCTATACTCCCCCCTCCCCTTATAATCTAGTTTCCATATAATGGTCAGTGATCTTTTTTTCTCCCAAGACAAATTCTTTTTTAAAGATCTTATTCATTTATTTCAGAGAGTGAGAAACATCACAGAGGGAGAGGGAGAAGCAGACCCCCTGCCCAGGAGAGAGCCTGACGTGGGGCTCAATCACGGGACACTTAGACCATGAGCCGAGCCAAAGGCCGATGCTTAAACAACTGAGGCACCCCAAGATAAAATTTTTTTAATAATAAATTGTATTGTCATTCTCTTGCTTAAAACCAGTAAGTGGTAATTTTCCAAAAAGAAATTACTTTCTAGGATCAATAGATAAATATACTACTATGAAAACAAATACACAAAGAAGAGAAATTCAGAATCATTTACCTGTGTGTTCACTACTTCCTGAGATAATGTCTGATTGAGTGGTGGGTACATCTCAAGTTTTATATTTAAAATTCCAACAGAAACTTTTGATTCTGTGCCTATAAATATAAACAAATATTTAGAACTTCAGAGGTTTCCAGACTATGTATATTTAGTCAACCAAAGTCTAACCAAAATAATCTAAGAATTTTGTGGTTTACCACTTACGTGAAATACAGGTAATATTCAACATCTTTAATATTCATATTAAAAACAATTCAACTCAAATCAGTTTTTATTTTGCATAAAGACCTTGATCTAGTTGTAAGATTATCTATGTTTTGAGCTTGCTTATTACATTTTAAAGGGCTATCTGGATCTAAAGGATTTTGTATTCTTAATTTTCATCTTCATTAAACGTATACCAACCAGATTTACATTAAAAACAAAGTAAAGCAACTGTTAACATCTGGTTCTCAGGAAATATTTATACTTTGTCACATATAATAATTCCTTCCCATTTTTCACATCACATGTGAACACAAATTTTCAATCCATACCTGGATTTAAACAATTTGAAAACAAATACACTTGTTACAAGATCTACTGTTCCTCTGGTGAATCAGAATATACTTGTTTCTTGGTCACTACTATGATAATCATGTTAGGCCTATATTTGAAGACAAATAATGTGTATCTTTTGAAAATACATATATCCCACAAAAAACTTGTGCCCTTACTATTTAAGGAAAACCACATTCTGGGTATGACTTATCAAAATCTAAAGTACTAAAGCTATACCGTCCACCAACCAGGTTTGACTCTGTGACTTAGTTTCAATACCAAGTATTCCCTTATATGTTATGCATAAAATACTGGTAGGTTTTATTCTATTAGAAAATACATATCACACATCAGATAGTTCCCAAGAGTCCAAGGAAACAATGGTGAATAAAATAGGCACCATCTCTCTCCTCAGAGTATTATTCATAGATCCTGTCAATGAACAAGTCAGCACCTCTTTGAATCCCATATTCCCACATGTAAAATGTTGGAAAAGTATCAACTCCACATTCTGTAAGAACCACTGCTGCAGGAAGGCACTGATACTAATGGGGGATGCACTGTACACTGGAGTGTGCTGGAGTAGAGTTTTTACATATGCATCTGTGTGAAGAATCCTACTGGTCTTTATAGCCTTATATACAATCAAATCAATTTGAAGAAAAAAAATAAGCCCCTGAAAAAAAAATTTTTCCTTACAAGATCAGTTTGACTGTATAGTTCTATACCTTTTTTTTTTTTTAAGACTTTATTTATTCATGAGAGACACACACACACACAGATTGAGAGAGAGGAGGCAGAGACACAGACAGAGGGAGAAGCAGGATCCATGCAGGGAGCCCGACATGAGACTCGATCCCAGGTCTCCAGGATCAGGCCCTAGGCTGAAGGCAGTGCTAAACCACTTAGCCACCCAGGCTGCCCTAGTTCTATACTCCAAACATGCTTCACGACATTTCCCAAGACCCCAATACTAGAGTCCAAATGTAATTTTAATGAAATTCTTTAAGTATTTTATTAAGTATTTATCTATTTGAGAGAGAGGACGCACACAAGCACAGGGAAGGGGAAGGGGAGAAGGGGAGAAGGGGAAGGGAGAGGGGAGAAGGGGAGAGGGGGAGAGGGGGAGAGGGGGAGAGGGGAGAGAGAGAGAGAGAGAGAAATCTTTTTTTTTTTCTTCTTTTTTTTTTTTGAGAGAAAGAAATCTTAAGCAGACTCCTCCACACTGAGCCCAGAGCCTGATGCAGAGCTTGGATCTCATGACCCTAAGACCATGACCCTAAGATCACGAACTGAGACAAAATCAAGAGTGGAAACCTAGAGTCGGATGCTTAAGTGACTGCACCATGCAGGTACTCCCTAATGAAAGGTTTTTTTTTACATGTTTCCTGTTTGGTTTACAAAGGCATTCAGAAAACATAAAATGCATTTATAAACAAGCTATGGCTATAAAAAGGTAACAGTAAAAAAAAAAAAAAGGTAACAGTGATGAATCATCATACCTACACCCATAAGCTCCACAGTAAGACTGGTCACTCCATTTTCTGAGCCCAAAACTGATCGCCATTCGAGAAAATAGGATGCTACTAAAGTAGTCTCACCAAATATGTCTGTTTTGATTAGCACCATATGAACTGGATCACTTATTGATAACATTGTTGTTGAATCAGCCATTCTAGTTCCATCACCTGGCAACATAAACCAAATGCATCACGTTACATATTCCATTAGACCAACATAGAAGAATATGTTTATTGCAAAGGATACTAATATACTTACATAAAACCAAATAAAGTAATTTGGTAATGCCTCAGAAACCATGCAACAGATTACTTAATTTAAAAAGTACAATCCTGGGGCGCCTGGGGAGCTCTGTCAGCTAAGTGTCTGCCTTTGGCTCAGGTCATGATCTCAGGGTCCTGAGATGGATCCCCAGGTCACACCCCCTGCTCAGCAGGGAGTCTGTTTCTCCCTCTCCCCAACACTCTCTGCTTGTGCTCACTTGTGCTCTCTCAAATAAAATCTTTAAAAAAAAAATAAACAGCCTTATTAGGGTAACCTTTTTCACCAAGGGCAAAAAAATTTTTTCATACTGTATTAGCCATCTTAGCAATCTAAATTTCTAAAGGTGTAATTTTTTAGCTTTGCTAAGCAAACACATTAAGATTTCTATATTGAAATAACATAAAATGCAGTTACAGAAATAATATAAAAATTATAGGAATCAGGTATATAATTTTAAAAAATTAGTTACAGACTCCCATCCTATTTCTCAAAGTTATCCTTCATAAATGAGAAGAATTATGTCTTGTTCTTCACTATATCCTCAGCACTTGCCTAGTATAGTATAACGCATCTAACAGGCATTTGATTGGTTGACTGACTGATTTTGGGGGAGGGGGGGAAGAGGAGGAGAGGGAGAAAGAAATCTCAAGCAGACTCTGTGCTGAGTGCAGAGCCCGATGCAGGGCTCAAACCCACAACACTAAGATCATGACCTGAGCCAAAATAAGGAGTCAGATACTTAACCGACTACAGCACCCAGGCAACCCCCTAACAGATATTTAAATGTTTACTACTTAAGAAGCAACCATTAAAACAGTAAAAATAAAAAATCTTAAGGGAAAATTATTTAGCAGAAAATAAAGCAAAAAGGTAGAAGTAATTTATGTAAAAAAGAGCAGTGGAGAAAATAAAAGCAAAGTAGGAAGATTCAATCATCATAAAACTCTCCTTCTAGCAAAAGTTATGTTACAATAAAACCTAACAAATATTTACTCAATTAAATGACAAGTTATTATTGCTCCTTACCTAAGCTTTCTCTGTGTACTTCAAGTAAAAAGCCATCATGAAAATCTGGTTCACAGGCACATGGAACAGGTTTAGAACGAAAACGTTGGTTTCGAAAATGTAAACATAGAGTAAAGGTTGAACAAACTTGTCCAGGTAAAGGCTCAGGTTCTTGTAGATGTTCCAAGAAAGCTTTTCCACCCAAAACCTGAAGGTAAAGATACCTCCGTGTTGGATCAATATTAGCTGTAAAGTGTAGCAATATATATGAGGAAACTGCCAAACAACTTAAGGAATGTGATCAAGACAATAGGAAATAATAACTTGACAGAAATAAAACCAAAGACTAAATTAAAAAAGTAACAAATTTACTGTATACCAGGACCATTTGAAACCAAGAAAGAAAACATACACAATAAGATATATCTTTATCGGAGTTTTTATATTCTGGCTACTTTCTCCCAGCTAGAAAAGAGTCAGAGCCAAGGCTTAAGAAACCTTTGCTCTTCAGGTGCTTATCTAATAACACGCCTTCACCACCAAAGCCAAACCAAACAAATATAAACTCAGCAAGTGTACTTGTTAGGCAATTACCATTAAAAAAGCAAAGCTGTACAATGTTTATAAAACATATTATTAAAACATGAGAAACAGGTAATTCTGTTTTTGCTTCCACTCTGTGATATACTAAAGCTTCTGACATACACAACTTGGTGCAAAACAGAATCTAAGTTTTTTGGATGATTAATTACAAAAATGGTAAGAATCTCATTCGAGAAGGAAATAAATGGTTTTCATCAAATACCAAACACTACAGCACATCAATATGTAGTACTGTGCAAAACGAAATCAATGTTAAAAGAAATATACATACTTTTTTTTAACAACGTTGATTGTCTATCAGTAAAACAAACAGGTTGTTTTGGAGAGGAAGGTAGTTCTTGATCAACACTGTCCTAGAAAGGTGGGAAAAAAGATGAAAACAAATTAGAAAACAAAAATTATAGCTAAGCAAAGAAACATCAACAATGGGTCGGACTAAGAACTAAACAGAAGTATACAGGATAAAGCCCCCTCAAGGAAACTCTTATTTTCCCAGCATAATTAAAATAATGAAAAGAGTTGATGAACTGGTCACTCCTAAACTCTAATAAGGAAATAAACTGTCTTCAGTGTCCACAGAATGCTATTAACAAATCCTTAATACCTTAAACAAGGTTAAACTTTTTCTAAACCTAATATGACATTTGGCTTATGATTCTACCATGAACTGATTTTAATAAGGAAATGACATTCACACAGCAGAAGCTGTTATTGGGTCAATTTTCAAACAAATGGGTTTATAAACCTCAAAAACCAAAAAAGGAGGCTGTATTAAAATACTTATTCCCTGATGTATTATGCACTCCATCCAATTTTTACATTATACTACCCATGTATTATTAGGTCACAGTTTCTCATTATTGCCTCATTTTCAAAAGAAGGCCCACTTACTATTTTGTGCACAGAGGCTTATCATCTCACTACCGACCTATTTGTATAAAGAGATTTGAAGGTTCTTACACATTATTTTCTTTAAAAAATTGATAATCTGTTAATCACAGAGAATGAAGTTCTAAAACAATGTGTTTATTTAAAAAATATGCCTAATCTAAAAAAATTATAAGACACTACTTGCGAAAAAGAACTAGGTTATGGTGAACAAATTTCACTAAAATATGTATACTTACAGATACAGACCTAGGGAATAACAACAGAAAATTCTGTCATTGTAAAGAGAAATATGGTATGTAACTCCAATCTCACTGATACATAATCCCACTTGCTACATTCAAGGGTAGAGTGAGCTTATAGTAAGGATATTACCAGTCAAAAATGGCCTTTTAAAGTGATTTTACTAAAAACAGGCCCCAAATATGGACCCTATAAGCAGCATTATGCCCAGGAACATATTCTCAAAATTCTTCCCCACCAAACTACTCACAGTAACAAAATTAAGTTCTTTCATCACATCATCAATGATTCCCCGACGTCTAAGGGCTTTGATCAAATCTTCTGTTGATAACTGTTGTTGATCAGGTGCCAATTCTTCCCGTATTGTCTCTGCAAGGATTTCTCTTATTCTGCCATGGACATCCATCTGTGTAGAAAACTCGCATTATAACTCACATTTATAAAGCTGACAAACATTGCCAATTAGCTAACTTCTTTCTAAAGCAACCAAAAAAAATAATAATAATAATAATGGGAAAGTACTAGGGGCACCCGGGTGGCTCAGCGGTTGAGCGTCTCCCTTCCGCTCAGGGCGTGACCCCAGAGTCCCGGGATGGAGTGCCACATCGGGCTCCCTGCGGGGGACCTGCTTCTCCCTCTGCCTGTGTCTCAGGAATAAGTAAACATTTAAAAAATAATAATGCGAGAGTGGACAAAATTCAAGACGGCTTTTCAAACTAATGTTTGAAATGTAAAATTATTAAATTAATTAAATTAATGTAAAAATGTAAATGTAAAATTATTACTAGAATTCGATGAGAATAAAGCTAAGATTTTTCTTTATTTCATCCTAAATTTCTTTTAGTACAAATTCTAGAAATAATCTCTACTGGTTATCTACTACCTTTGTTACCATTTCCCCACAAATAACATTCAAAGAAAACAGACCTATTGAAAGTGTAGTACACTCAAGAGAACACGGACCTGGACTGGGAGATCAGAGAATGAATTTCAACTTTCAGCTTATTAGACGTGACCCTGAGTTAATTCGTTTACCCTGTATGAATCTGCAAAAGATTACTGCGAGGCTTAGGCCAAAGATGCTTTACCCTGAGCACAGAACCTGGCACACCGGTGCACTGCAAACGGGAGCTTTCACTGCTTCAGCTCCCTGCGTTCAAGGCTCCCGCCGGGCGCCGAAGGGCCGAAGGGCCGAAGGGCCGCAAGCACTCTCAGCACAGACCCTCGGCACTTCCCTCCGGACTTCTCGAAGAACTGCGCACGTGGCTCAGCTTCAGAGACGCGAGTGTCACCCTTAAAGTAACTCTAATTCCTACCCTCTGAACACACATCTGCTGCAAACCAGCTGGTATTCGGCCTGGCCTCCCGAAGCCGCGGGGTGAGCGCCTCCTCCTCCGCGCGCCGCGCCGCGCCGCTCACCGCCGCGGCCCTTCGCCGAGGCTGGAAGGCGGCCCCGGCTGCACCCTCGGAGCCCCCCGCCCGCGCCGTCGGCCTCGCCCGGGACGCCAGGCGGGGGGCGCTCAGGGCCAGACTTGATCACCCTCACCTTGCTCAGCTGCTGGTGGATGAGCTGCTTCAGCTCGGAGGCCTTCTCCGGAGGCAGCGACATGCCGCGGCCGCCGCTCACCGCGCTTCCCCCGCCTCGGGCGCGCCCGGCCGGCCCCGGGGTGCCAGTAGCCGCGGGGCGGAGGCGGCGACCGCTCGGGCTCGCGCGGCTCCCGGGGGGCGCGACGCCGCGTCAGGGCCGCGGCTGGGCGGGAGCCGAGGCGGCGGTGGCGGCGCTCAACTGTGGCTTTCAAACGGCGCGGACTGCCGGGGCGCGGGCTGCCCCCGTCCGTGCCTGACCGCGTCCGCCTGCCGCTCCCGTCCCGGGCGACGCCCACCGCGCCAGCCCAACGCTCCCCGCCGCCCTGCCCCGCGGGGGTCTCCGCCCGCACTGCCCGCCCCCATCTCCCCCGGCGCCCGGCCCTTCCCGCACCGCGGACCGGCGCAGAGCTGGACTGGCCCCGCAGGACCCCACGCCGAGCGGCGGCCCGGGCCCCGCCCCCCGCCCCGCCCCGCCCCCCGCCCTGGGGACTGCGGTGCCAGACCCGGCGCGGCGCCCGCGGGTCCGCCTGCCCGCCCCCGCCCCCGGCCTCCTGGGCCCGCGCTCAGTCGCCCCCAGTCTTCTCGGGCCCGCGCTCAGCGGTCCTCCCGCCTCCGGCCGGGCCCGCGCTCGGCCTTGCCTGTCCTCCCGCCCTCTGTGCCACCATGTTTGTCCCCTGCGGAGACTCGGTCCCCGACCTCGCGGGCCACACCCTCCTCATGGTGAGTCCCCGTTCCGCGAGCTCCGCGTGCCCGCCGGGCCGCTGGCCGTGGGGGCGCCCGGGGGCCGCCGGCGCCGTAGGGCTAGTTCTCCGGGCCGGGTTAGCGGCCCGCGCGGAGGACGGGTGGTCGCTGGGTGCGGCGCTCCGCTGACACTCGGCCGGCGCCGCCCGCAGACGTCCCTGACTGGACTCCAGTCTTCGCTGTCGCGCGGAGCCTGTTTGCTGGTTACGGGTAACGTGCGACATAGGTCGTGCGGGCCATTTTCTTTTCATCGTATCCTCGAAAATCTTTTTTTAGCTAAAATCAGAGCCATGCTTAAGCTGGCGAGACTTTAAGTCATTAGTTATTTAGTCATTAACTAAAAACCTACGCATAAGGTAATAAAAGCGATGTTGGCCGGTCACTAGCTCCTGCTTGGTTTTGGGTTTTTTGTGTGTGTTTTTTTTTTTTTTAAGGACTTCACCTATTGGTTCATGAGACACACACACAGGCAGAGACACAGGCAGTGGGAGAAGCAGGCTCCACGCGGGGAGCCCGACGCGGGACTCGATCCCGAGTCTCCAGGATCACGCCCTGGCTGAAGGCGGCGCTAAACCGCGGAGCCACCAGGGCTGCCCTAGGACCGCACTTGGAAAGGACGCACAGAAGAATCCTGGGACTTACTGGGAGGGGAAGGACGCAAAGGCTTGTTAAAGCTTTATATGTGGAATCTCGGGGCCTGGGGTGAAAAAAATCCTCAGATAAAGACACAGAGAAGGGGTTGGCGGTAGCCAGAGGCAGGTGAGGATGAGAGTTGCCTGAGTGAGATAGGTGGAGGCAGTCAAAAGGTACAAATCTCCAGTTATAAAGAGGTCCTAAGGATGTCTTGTACGGTACAGTGACTATAATACAAAGTATTGCATAGTATATTTGAAACTTGCTAAGAGAGTAGATTTTTTGAAGATTTCATTCATTTATGAGAGAGCTAGAGAGCACAAGCAGGAGGAGAGGGGGGAGAGAGAGAGGGTGACGCAGACTCCCCGCTGGGCAGGGAGCTGTATGCTGCCTCCATCCCAGGACTCTTGGATAATGACCGGTGCCTAAGGCAGAGGCTTCACTAACTGAGCCACCCAGGCACCCTAAGAGAAGAAATCTTAAAAGTTCTCATTATGAGAGTTATTTATAACTATGTGGTTGATTGATATTAAAGTAAGCTTATTGTGGTAGTCATTTCACAGTATATACATAGGTATATACCTATATATATATATATATATACACATATGTATCAAATTATATACCTAAGACTGATACAATGTCATATGTCCCTTATATCTCAATTTTTTAAATGATGGTAACACTTTTGGGCAATTCTTACCTTAATGATGCATGCAAGAAATATCAACGAATTGCTAAAATTAGTCTGTGTTAATATACTGAAGGAGGAAATTTTATATAATTTCAAAGTATCTCCCTGAAAAATATTTATTATATTTTCTAATAAAATGGAAAGATATCCTTATAGGAGATAACTGGCAGAAGAAAAAGCAGAAAAAGATCCGTAGGGAAAAGTAACGTCCAAAAGATTATTGGTGGTAACCTTGACAGTTACCAATAGTTAAGGGGTGAAGGGAGGGAAGCCATATTGGTGTGGTTTGAGTAAGTGGAAGAAGAGATAGAGACATGTATATGTATGTATATATTTGTTCATCAATTCAGAGATAAAGTTCTTATATTTTAGTGGACAACTGGGGAATTTTGGCTACGGAGAAACATGAAGAAGGAGGTGGTAGCTAGGGGAGTATGTGGGATCAAGGGAGAGTACAGCAGAGTGAAGGAGCTAAAGAAAGGAAGGGTATTTTGTTTTATTTTTTTTAAGGAAGGGTATTTTATTTTATTTTATTTTTAATTTATGATAGGGAGAGAGAGAGAGAGAGAGAGGCGGAGACACAGGCAGAGGGAGAAGCAGGCTCCATGCACCGGGAGCCCGACGTGAGATTCAATCCCGGGTCTCCAGGATCGCGCCCTGAGCCAAAGGCAGGCGCCAAACCGCTGCGCCATCCAGGGATCCCCAAGGAAGGGTATTTTAGAAGGGAAGGTTAGAGCATGTGTATATGCTGATGGGAAGAATCCAGTAGTGAGGAAAAGGTGGATGATATAGGAGAGTGAGGGTCCAAATAAAGTAGCAAAATCCTTGAGAATGGGAGAGAGAATTACAGGAGATAAGCACGAGACTAGTAGATGAGATCAAGGAGAAGTGGACCACCCTGAAGGATCCAGAAAAATAAGATGAAGGGGAGAAAAAAAGCAATTGCTAGAAGAATGCAAAGGAAGAGCTACATTAAAGAGATACTATGGAAATAGAATCAATGAAAATTGGATATATATGAGATACAGTTGTTAAGAGGAAAGGAAGAAGTTTCTAGGGTTAAGTATTAGATGAATAATTGTTGCTCTTCTCTAAAATACAAAACATGAGGACAAGTTTAGGCAGAAGTTTAGTTTTGTACATGTTGAATATGCATTGCCTGTGATATAACCATATGGAGATATCCATTAGGATCTGAAGTTCAGATAAATGTTTTGAGGTATAGGTAGAGATTTAGCAGTTGGACTCTTTGAAGTCATGGTGATAAATATGTGTGTGTGTGTTTAATGTGAAAAGAAGCTGACTCTAACCTTTAGGCACTAACAAAGCAAGTGGAAAGATGACCCAAGAGGCCTTTATACTTGTTTTCAAGCGCTTGCAGTGTTCTTTTCTTGGTGTGTCTTTAGGTGACCAGTTAATTACAGACCTGAAAGACATAAGGAAGACTGCCACACAAAGTAATTCTTTTCTTGATCACCCTTTTTATTTTATTTTTATTAAAAAAAAATTTTTTTAATTTATTCATGAGAGAGAGAGAGAGAGAGAGAGGGAGAGACACAGGCAGAGGGAGAAGCAGGCTCCATGCAGGGAGACCCATGTGGGACCCGACCCTGGGACTCCAGGATCATGCCTTGGGCCGAAGGCAGGCGCTAAACCACTGAGCCACCCAGGGATCCCTTGATCACCCTCCTTAAAATTGCAACCAGCCACTTCCATATACACACTTTTAATTTTTCTCCATAGCGCTTAGCACTATATGCAGGCATACCTCGAAGATTTTGAGGGCTTGGTTCCAAACCACAGCAATAAAGTGAATATCACAATAAAGCAAGTCAGATGAATTTTTTGGTTTCCCAGTGTATGTGAAAGTTATGTTTATACTGTAATCTATTAAGTTTGCTATAGCATTATGTCTAAAAAGACAGTGTGCATACCTTAATTTTAAGATACTTTATTTTTTTAAATATTTTATTCATTTATTCATGAGAGACACAGAGAGAGACAGAGGCAGAGACACAGGCAGAGGGAGAAGCAGGCTCCATGCAGGGAGCCTGATGTGGGACTCGATCTCGGGTCTCCAGGATCACGCCCTGGGCTGAAGGCAGCGCTAAACCGCTGAGCCACCCAGGCTGCCCCAAGATACTTTATTGATAAACAATACTGGCCATCTTCTGAGCTCTCAGTGAGTCTAATCACTGATTGCAGGTCAAATGATAAATATAATAATTATGAAAAAGTTTGAAATACTCAGAGATTTACCAAAATGTAACAGACACAAAGTGAGCAAATGCTATTAGAAAAATGGTGCTTATAGACTTCCTTGAGGCAGGGTTGCCACAAACCTTCAATTTGTAAAACAAATAAACAAAAAATTATCTGTGAAGTGCAATAAAGTGAGGCATGCCTGTATTTTATTATATTAAACTACTCTCTCACCAGAATGGAAGCTCCACAAGGGAGGAACTTTTGTCAGTTTTTCTTACTGCATTCCTAGTGTCTAGAGCAATGATTGACATGTAGTAGGTGTTCAATAAGTGTTGAATCAGTAGTCTCAAAAGTAGAGGAAGCCCCTGCGGAGACCTCTGTTGCAACGAAGGAAAGAGTTTCTATCCAGCTAGGACGTACCTGAGCATAACCATTAAAAGTAGTCCTATGATTATTGTCTTTTGTCTAAACTTTTAAAAGTGCTGCTAATTTTGATGACTTAATGAGCATATTTTTTTTTATTATTTCAGCCTGCAGTATCTGTTGGAAATGTTGGCCAGCTTGCAATAGATTTGATTATTTCTACACTAAATATGCGTAAGATTGGTTACTTCTATACCGACTGTCTTGTGCCGATGGTTGGAAACAATCCATATGCAACTGCAGAAGAAAATTCAACAGAACTCTGTATAAACGCTGAAGGTAATTAAGACTTAAGTCTGTTTTATTTTGTTATAAGGAAGAATTTTAAGTTAGAAATAGATTCTACGGATACTATTTTATAGCAGACACGTACTTAGTGCCGGCTTTGTGCAGAATCATGTTGTCCTAGTCTCCTACATCCTGATTTTAGTTCTTAGCCTTTTCTAAATGGCAACTCCTATAATGACTGTACTTCTTTAACTAGAATTTGAGGTTTCCTCTTTTTTTTTTTTTTTTTTTTAAATAACGTAAGGGGTTTTTTTTATCCTCGGTTTTAATTTCTGGCAAGTATAAGCATCACTAATATGAGGGAAAGGAGTAAAGAGTTCTACTGGGTTCAGCCCTTTAGGTTTAACATGTCCTACCTTACCTAAGCCTCATAGTTATCATCTCATACTGTAGAATCTATGATAATATAATATCAATAAGGCCCAGAGAGATTGAGTTCCCTAATACTGTTAGTAGGTGTAGGCTTTTCCCATACCATAAATCTCCATATAATTTTTCATTGGACTATCAAGCTTGATTAATTGGGAAACATAATTGACATTGTACTGATCACTGTGTTTATAATTTGGTACTACTCCAAGCTAATAAGGGAAAGCTATTGATCATGAAGCATAGGAGTATCCACTTGCTTTGTTTGATGGCAAGCTGCTCCGTTGACTGTTCAATTTTCTGTTTAGTTTTTTTTTTAAGATTTTATTTATTTATTCATGAGAGACAGAGAGAGAGAGAGAGACAGAGAGAGAGAGAGAGGCAGAGATATAGGCAGAGGGAGAAGCAAGCTCCATGCAGGGAGCCTGATATGGGACTTGATCCCAGGACTCCAGGATCATGCCCCGCGCTGAAGGCAAGTGCTAAACTGCTGAGCCACCCAGGGATTCCCAATTTTCTGTTTACATTTTAAGGTGGAAGCCACAGGTGATAGAGTAGCATGGAAGACCATTGATGGGGCTAAAAGACAAATGAAGAAGCTTTTTTTGTTGTTCATCTTATTAATGGCACCACTAGCTTGTAATAATGAAACAAACTTTTAAAAAATAGCCTTAAGGGGGATCCCTTGGTGGCTCAGCGGTTTGGCACCTGCCTTTGGCCCAGGGCGCAATCCTGGAGTCCCGGGATCGAGTCCCACGTTGGGCTCCCTGCATGGAGCCTGCTTCTCCTTTTTCCTGTGTCTCTGCCTCTCTCTCTCTCTCTCTCTCTCTCTCTCTCTGTCTATCATGAATAAATAATAAATAAAATCTTTAAAAAAGTAGCCTTAATATTAAAATTCCTGCAGGAGGGATCCCTGGGTGGCACAGTGGTTTGGCGCCTGCCTTTGGCCCAGGGCGCGATCCTGGAGACCCGGGATCGAATCCCACGTCGGGCTCCCGGTGCATGGAGCTGCTTCTCCCTCTGCCTGTGTCTCTGCCTCTCTCTCTCACTGTGTGCCTATCGTAAATAAATAAAAATTCAAAAAAAAATATTTAAAAAAAATAAAATTCCTGCAGGAAAGATGGCTTTGTTAACACAAGACTGAATTTCAGTTATTGCATTAAAGGATAAAGGACTGTAAATGATAGAACTAGAATTTTTTTTAATTTTTTATTTATTTATGATAGTCACAGAGAGAGAGAGAGAGAGAGAGAGAGAGAGAGGCAGAGACACAGGCAGAGGGAGAAGCAGGCTCCATGCACCGAGAGCCCGGCGTGGGATTCGATCCTGGGTCTCCAGGATCGCGCCCTGGGCCAAAGGCAGGCGCCAAACCGCTGCGCCACCCAGGGATCCCGATAGAACTAGAATTTATATACTTTCCACTAATGGTAACAACTATCATTTATTATTTCCTATGAGCTGAACACTGTGCACTTAAATGTATTCATTTAATCTTTGTAATTATTCAATGGGTAGTTTTATTGATGAGGAAACCATTGCAGAGAGAAGTTAATAATTGGTGTAACTAAGTTTCTGATCAAGGCTCTGACCCCTGTGATCTGCCTCTTAAGTACCACACTGCCCTGCTACTGCACTTTCACTCTAGTAGAAGACTACTACTTTTGTCCTTTCTGTGACACAAACTTGCAGCAAGTCAGTTGGGTATAGTCCTTTTATCCACTTTATTTTTAAAATGAGGTATTTTAAAATAAATTGTAGGGGCTTAGTTAATTAAGCATCTGTCTTTGGCTCAGGTCGTGATCTCAGGGTCCTGGGATTGCACCCTGTATCAGGCTCTCTGCTTAGTGGGGAGCCTGCTTCTCCTTCTTCCTTTGCCCCTCCCCACCACTCATGTGTCTCTCTGTACTCTCTCTCAAAAAATAAATAAAATTTAAAAAAAAACAAAAAAATAAATTGTAGACATTGTGACTTTCTACCTTCAAGTATGCATCTTCTTTTTTTTTAAAGATGTTTTATTTATTTATTTTACAGAGACTGAGAAAGAGAGAGAGAGAGTGAGCACAAGCAGGGGTAGTAGCAGAGGGAGAGGGAGAAGCAGGGTCCTGCTGAGCAGGGAGCCCGATATGGGGCCCAGTCCCAGGATCCCGAGATCATAATCTGAGCCAAAGGCAGATGCCTAACCGACTGAGCCACCCAGGTGCCCCCACCTATGCATCTTTTAGAAACATTTTCTTAAATAGCTAAATACCATCACATTTAACAAAATTACCAATTTCTTAATGTCTTACTCTACCATATCATAATCAAATTGTTAGAGTTTCCCCAAATGTTCTTTAAAGTTAGTCTAAACCAAGACCCACAGTAATCCATCTGCCTCTGAAATTTCTTTAACTCTAGAACAGTCTCTTTTTCTGCCCTCTTTTTCGTGAAACTTGCTTATTGAGGAAAAAACTGAACCCATTGTCCTATAGAACATCTCACCTGCTGCATTTGTCTGATAATTTGCAGTGTCAGCTGGCTTCGTCTTCTAGTCTCTGTATTTTCTGTAATAGTACTTAGATCTAAAGGCTTGATTAGATGAAAGCTAAATATTTTCCACCAGAATATGTGAAAGGGGATGTTGCTTTCATATTGTATCATATCAGAAAAGCAATGGGAAGCAGGATCTTAATAACAAAAAAAGATTTGCATGATACACTGTGGAGAACGTGAGTGTTGCCATTATAGGAGGTGGCGTATCTTATATTTTGCTCACTCCGTATGGATACATCCTCTTCCTACTAGGACTATACAATTGCATTGGGTATGTTTGTCAGAAATAGATTACAGGCCTGAGTGGCCCACATCTTAGTCCCTTCCCCCTAAATTTGTGCTCTTTTCCCTAATTCCTAAACACTCTGCTCTTGCCTTTGTTCTGAACATACCTGGTAGTCACTAGACTTGATGCTGGATACCCCCAATCACACCACACACAGGTCCAACAAGGTCCAACAAGACACTTACCAGAAGACTTACAACTTGGGGACACCAGGGTTGCTCAGTGGTTGAGCACCTGCTTTTGGCCCAGGGCATGATCCTGGAGTCCCTGGATCGAGTCTCACATTGGTCTCCCTGCATGGAGCCTGCTAGCCTGCTTCTCTCTCTCTCTCTCTCTCTCTCTCTCTCTCTCTCTGTCTCTCTCTCTTTGAATAAATAAATAAAATCTCTAAAATATATATATTAATTTGACCTATAAGAAGAAAAATAATTTTTGGTATTTTCTTAACAGTTAACTTGTCAGGGGCGCTTGTGTGGTTCAGTCTGTTAAATGTCCAACTCTTGATTTCAGCTCAGGTCATGATCTCAGGGTTGTGAGGTCGAACCCTGCATTGGGCTCCTCACTAGGCATGGAGCCTACTTAAGATTTTCTCTCCCTCTGCCCTCCACCTCTAAAAAGAAATAAAATAAACTGTTAACTTATCAGAAGTGAATCTGTTCCATAGAATAAAGCCCACAGGTGCATTTTAAGGTACTTCTAAAATGTTTAAATAAAACATTTAAATAAACTGAATGATATAGTTCATATGTTCTATATTTAATTATTGAAAATATTAGGTATAAAAGTTTTTACAATTCAGTTTGAAGTTTTTATATTAGTAATTTCACTTGTATAACCATCATTTTAACTATTTTATTATTATTATTATTATTATTATTATTATTATTATTTTGTCTTTGTAGTATATTCATTGCCTTCAAAGAAGCTCGTGGCTCTTCAGTTAAGGTCCATTTTTATTAAGGTTAGTATATTATATTTGTCTTTTTAAGTTGATCAAAAAAATCTTATAAAATTCAGAGCTGTTACTGTTATTTCATGATTATATTGAAAGGAATTGGGATTATATGATTATATTATATGATTAATTGATTAATATGATTATATTATAGCTTGGGTCTTATATATTCCCATCAGGTAGCATTGGTGAAAACATTTAAGCATAGGAATATTTTCTGTTTTTGTTACATTTGTATTACATTTCAACCAGTGGCATGTACATTTAAACCATGTATTTGTCAGAATAAATTCTGAAAATATCTTCTTTCCTCTTCTGCTGCTACCATGCTTTTCAAACCCCTGCCTTCTCTCAATGCTCCTGATTCTGCTGTGGTTCCACCCACCCCTACAAACATTTAATAGTCTCTTTGCAAATAACACTACCAGTGATCCTTTAAACCTAAATCAAACCCTCTGGTGGCTTCCTGTTTTATTCCCAGTGAACTCACAGCCCTAACCTTGGCTTATCCTGGTTCTTCCTCTGTCCTGGTATGGTATCCACTAGCCACATGCCATTCCTTAAGTTTGATTCATAAACTAAAAGTAAATAAAATTAAAAATCCACTTCCTCCTTTGTACTAGCCACATTTGAAGTTCTCTGTAGTGGCAGACAGCTGCCATCAAGGCACTTCGTCATCACAGAGCGCTCTCTTGGGCAGCTGCTCTACACCTAATCTAACTTAGAGCCATTCCTGTGTGCTCTGTGTTTCGCTCTTTCACTTAGCCTGCTTCAGCCACACTGGTGGCTGTGTTGTTCCCTGTGTTGTTCCAACAGATTAAGCTCATTCCTGTCTCAGAGTCTTTACATTATTGTTTTTGCCTGGAATACTTTTCCCCTAGATACCTAAATGGCTTGCTTCCCTCAGTCCTTGCTTAAATGTTACTTGAAGAAAGGCCTTCTTGGCCACCCTTTCTATTGTATTATCCTGGGGTGGCTTTCTACGCAACTCATCACTACTTGGCATATCATATATGTGTTTATCATCTACCTCTAATATAAAGTAAGTTTTCTGAGAGAAGTAACAATGTGTCATTCATTCTTATATCCCCAACTTCTAGAAGAGTGCCTAGCATGTAGAGAAGCATTTGGTAAATATTGGTAAAGTGGATTCAGTACCATCTGTTCAGGAGGTCAGAAATATGTCGACATTCCATAAGCTCTCCCTCATGCCCCATCCTAGTTATTATATTATGTAATGGAATCTTATGATATGTACTTATGTCTAGCTTCCTTTACTCAGCATCTATTTGTGAGGTCCGTCCATGTTGTTCCAAGGAGAGGTAGTTCATTCATTCTCACCTCTGTGGGATTCTCTTGTATAAATAAACCATAATTTATCCATTGTACTATTAAGGGAAACCATAATTTATCCATTGTACTATTAAGGGAATTTATCCATTGTACTATTAAGGGAACAAATACCCAAAATTTTGCAGGAGAATTGCTAATATTTTTACATTATGCCATGCATGTGGCTTTTTCTGTTCTCTTAATACCAGGGTGAGTTCAAGAATTAAGATAGACAAAAAAAAAAAAAAAAGAATTAAGATAAACATGTCTCAATGAAATTTTTGGTAAGATAGAAATAGTGATTTCAAAATAGCAAACGTTTATTGAACATGGATTCTTTGCACCAGTACTTATATATATATAAAGTACTCTACGTTGTCAACAATCTGATGAAGTAGGTACTGATATTATCCTCACTTTACAAATGAGGAAAACCGAAACAGAGAGGTTAAACAATTTCCTGAGACATATGGTCTGTGGGAGGTAGAGCCAGCATTCCAGACCAGGCAGCTTGGTTTAGAGCCTGCCTCTCTTAGTCATACTATACCACCTTCCTTGTTTTAACAGTCTGTGAAGAGTTTCCATAAAGGGAGTTTTTCTCCCCCAAATTTCATAACCCACTTCTCAGATTAACCAGCTGTTAACATCTTGCCGTTCCTGCTTGATCCGCTCTATTTGCGTATGTTTACACACAATTTCCTTCTGCCAGACAACCCAAAAGCAGTCTACTGATGTAATGATATTTTACCCGTAAATACTTCAGCATGCATCTTTCAAGAATAAGGACATTCTCCTTCACGACCACAGCGGCATGACCGCCACATTAAGCAAGTCAGCATTTAATGAATTATTCAGTAGTGTCATGACATTCAAATTTCCCCAGTTGTCCCTAAAATAGTCCTCAGTTCTGGATCCCGTCAAGTTTCACGCGTTACATTTGGCTGCAGTATCTTTTTAGTTGCTAACTGTTGAGATAGAAGTGGACTCCTCTTTCTGTTCTTCTCAATATTGACTCCTTTGAGAATGAAAGTCAGATGTTTGGCATCCTAGGTTCACCTAATTATTTCCCGGTCATCTTTCAGGTCAGAAATTTCTAGCAAGAACATCTCATAGAGGGGATCCCTGGGTGGCGCAGCGGTTTGGCGCCTGCCTTTGGCCCAGGGCACAATCCTGGAGACCCGGGATCGAATCCCACGTCGGGCTCCCGATGCATGGAGCCTGCTTCTCCCTCTGCCTGTGTCTCTGCCTCTCTGTCTCTGTGACTATCATAAATTAAAATAAAAATAAAAAAAAAGAACATCTCATAGATGTCCATTTGATAGTTTTTAAGTAATGGTAGATTACTTTAAGTAGAGAACTGGGAAATTTTGTCAGTCAAAATAGACATTTTTTTGAAATCTAGATTTCTCATTATTTCTGAATTGTAAAGATATAATAAAAAGCTCATTGCTCTTCATCCCTTAGCTTCATTTTAAGGATAGGAAGTGGATCTAAAAGTAATTAGAATTTTATATATATGGATTTCTTATCATCACAAAAGGTCAATAAAATATTTTATAGAATACTCTTATTAAATGCTAAGATCTAACTTTTAGACTTTCTTTTTATTCTTTCATTGATATACAAAGTATAAATCAAAGCCATTCTGTGAGAAACTGCTTTCCTGGGTGAAAAGTAGTAACTGTGCCAAAGTTATTGTTCTTTCAAGCAGCCATTCATATCACCGTAATGATCTACAACTTCGCAGGTATGTGTTTTTTACCTTTAAAAAATGTTATGATTTACACAGTATTATGGTGGTATCTCTATTTAAAAAGCTAAAATAAGTTTTAAAAGCCATGTATATCTTTACCTACCCTTTCTGGAATTTAGAAAGAAATAAAAGAAAGTCAAGAGATTGGAGAGAGTATGGTTAGGTAGTCCTGTGTTTGGTGCACAAGGAAGTCTTTGGTGTAAAGATAGTGATGATTCTGGAACTGTGCTTTAATTCTTTGATATTGTGTGTAGCAACATCACAGAGCTCAGCTGATGAAGAGAGAGAGGATACCTAAGATTCAGTGGATGATAATTTTTTGGAAGACTGAATTCACATTTCTATTTATTTAGCCATCGCAGAAGTCCAGTTGCCTTTAAGTGTAACTCCCAGGCATGTCAGACTGAATTCCTAAACAGAAGGCAAAGCATCCAAGAATTAAAAATATAAACTATTTTCATTATCATTTGTGCACCTATAAAAAATCCTGATGAAAAAAAACATTTAGCCAAGACTAACCTTTCAAAATTGGAGCTAATTCTTATTAATCTCACAGTAGGTATACATGTCTAGCAATCTTACAAAAGGCCTCAGGGCCAGAAGGGCACATGGCTGTGGGAAATAGGTTATCTTCGTAACCTTGCCTTCGTTTAAGTCGGCCTGCGTCTCTATACTCTCTCCTAAGTATGTAAATAGCAAACCAGAGCAATATTTTTACATTATTCTTCCATAGGCTGCTGAATCTTGTGCTTTGTTTTAGTAACAGAATACAGAGAGAACAAACATTTGCTTAAAAAAAAAAAAACTGATACTTGCCTTAATGTTCACATTTATTATGGGTTTTTAGAAAATTAACTATATGATTGTTTCTAGCACTCCCTTCAGATACCTACTTACACCCATTGTGCAAAAAAGTGTTCAAAATAGAATACAGAGCCTTAATTGGGAAGAAATGGAAAAAAGCCCATGCATTCCTGAAATAGATGATTCTGAGTTTTGTATTCGTATTCCTGGAGGAGGTATCACAAAAACACTCTATGATGAAGGGTGAGTTTGTTCATCTATTTGTTCATTTGTTCCTTATATAAAAATAAAAGTAAAAAAAAAAATAAAAGTAAGGGGCACCTAGGTGGCTCAGTAGGTTAAGTATCTGCATTTGGCTGGAGTCATGATCTCTGAGTTCTGGGATTGAGCCCCATATTGGGCTTCTCAACAGGAAGTCTACTTCTTTCTCTCTCTCTCTCTCTCTCACCCTGTGCCCCTACCTACCTCTCATTCTCTCTCTCTAATAAATAAAAATATTTTTAAAAAATTAAAAATAGAGGTTAAGAGGTGTACCTGGCTGGCTCAGTCAGAAAAGTATGAAATTCTTGATCTCAGGGTTATGAGTTCAAGCACCATGTTGGGCATGGAGCCTACTTTAATAAAAAAAAAAAAAAAAAAAAAAAGAAGGTAAGTAGGAGAGTGTTAGATTCGTATTACAACTTTGAAAATATATTTATAAAATATGTCTTGTATTCAGGGGAAAAACTGAAATTTAGTTTTAGGAAAATTCATTCCTAAGAAAACATATTTAATGCTTTGTAACGTGTGGCGTGTTAAGGATCCTAATACTTCCTCTATGCAACCTCTACAATCAATCTTATTTTTTTTAATTGTGGTAAAATATGCAAAACATTAATGTACCCATTTTTAAGTGTACAGTTATGTGGCATTAATGAATTCATGGTGTTGTCTATCCATCACCAACTATTTTCATAACTTTGTTATTCTAAACAGTCTGTACTTACTAAATAACTCCTATTTATTTCTGCAAAATGCATACTAATGTCCTCACCCTCATTTCTCATTTTAGTAATTTGAGTCTTTTTTTTTAAGATTTATTTATTTATTCATGAAAGAGAGAGGCAGAGACATAGGCAGAGAGAGAAGCAGGCTCCCCACAGGGAGCCCAATGTGGGACTCAATCCCCAGACCTGGGATCACGCCCTGAGCCAAAGGCAGATGCTCAACCGCTGAGCCACCTAGGCATCCCGAGTCTTTTTTTATTCTTAGTCAATTTTGTTGATCTTTCAAATAACCAACTTTTGGTTTTATTGATTTTTCTCTATTGTTTTTCTGTTCTGTTTGTTTTATCTCACCTTTAATCTTCATTATTTCCTGTTTTCTGCTAACTCCAGATTTAGTTTGTCTTTATTTTGTAGTTCCTAAGATGTAAACTTATGTTATTAATCTGTAAAATTTCTTCTGTTTTAAAATATGCATTTGCAGCTGTGACTTTACCTCTTACACTGCTTTAGCTACATGTCTTAAGTTTAGCGTGTTGTATTTTCATTTTTATTCACCCCTAATATTTTCTGATTTCCCTTGTGATTTCTTCTTTGACCCATTAGTTGTCTGAAATTGTGTTAATTTCCACATTTTTGTGAATTTTCCAGTTTTCCTTCCATTGTTGATTTCTAGTATCATTCTTTTGTGATTGAAAAAGACACTTTGTATGATTTTAACCTTTTTCATTTATCAGGGCTTCTTTTGTACCCTACCAAAGGTCTGTCCTCGAGAATGTTCCCTGTGCACTTGAGAAAAATGTGTATTCTGCTTTTGTTGAGTGGAGTGTTCTGTATATATCTGTTAGGTCTAACTGGTGTAGAAGGTTGTGTAAGTCTTCTATTTTTTTTTATTTTTCTCAATCTGTTTATTCCATCAGTTATTTGAATGCAGGCTATTGAAGTCTCCAACTATTATTGTAACACTGTGTCTAGTTCTCCCTTCAATTCTGTCAGTGTTTGCTTCATATATTTTGGGGCTCTTATTTTGTGAATACGTCTTTATATTAGTTGCATCTTCTTGATGAATTGGCCCTTTTATCGATATATAGTAGCTTTCTTAGTCTTTTATAACAGTATTTGACTTGAAGTCTATTTTCTCCAATATTTGTATTAGCCACCTTGCTCCCTTGGTTAGTATTTATATGGAATATCTTTTTCCATATTCTCACTTTCAAACTGCGTGTGTCCTTATATTCAAAGCAAGTCTCTTATAGACAGTATGTAGTTGGATCATGTTCCTTATTTGTAATTATTTTTGTCCCTGCTCCTTTCCAAAGTATTTAAGACTTCTTTAGTAGAAAGCATACAGGCATTTCACCTTGTTTTTCCAGTACACTTTGTTTTGTCTGTCTCTGGCCAGACTTGTGTACCATTCCAGCCTTCTCTTTTTCCCTGAAACCTACTCTATTCCTATTAAAATTGTCATTTCTTTCCTTTTTTTTTTTTTTTTCTAGTTTGTCACCTATTCGTGTTTTTGCTGCTTTTCCTAGAGGCTAGCTTATTCCTTGTAATATAAAACATCACTTCAGTTATTCTTTTACCACCGCCTGGAAGCCCCCAGCTGCCCCATCACACTCTGCCCATCCCTGCCCTGAATACTACCAGCCTTCAGTCCAGTCCTCCTCTTGCTTCATTCAGGCCATGTCATTTGTAGCCTGGACCACCGTAATGAAATACCATCATCAGGTGGCTTCAGCAGCAGCCATGTATTTGCTCACAGTTCTGGAGGCTAGAAATCTGAGAGCAGGGAGCAACATGGTTGGTTTCTGGTGAGACCTTTTCCTGGCTTGCAGATGGCTAGCTTCTGGCCATATCCTCACATGACAGAGAGACCTATGTTTTCTTCTCTCCTTACAAGGCCCCAGTCCTGTCAGATTAGGGCCCCTGCCTTATGACATGATTTAATCTTAATTACCTGCACAGATTCTATCCCCACATATGGTCGCATTGGGGTTTAGGGCTTCAGTTTTGGAGGGGCATGCACAGGTTTGGTCAATAACAGCTGCCCTTAAGAGCTTTTGATTGACTCCTCTACCACCTCCATTCTCTCTCTGCTCTGTCTTGAGTTTTGCTAGAATTAAAATTCAAAACCAGTCACAGCATCCCCTGAGTAAAGTCCATCAGCACTTTCACTTGCTGTGTGCAGAATCTGGTTCATACTCTTAATGTGCCTTACAAGGCTCAGCAGGATTTCCTTGCCTGGCTCATTCCCTGATGCCTTGGACTCCAGCTAAACTACTGGCAGTCACAGTTTCCTAAAAACTGTCTCGTTCTTCCTTCCCTTGTTCCGTGTCCTTTTCTTCTCTTGTCTACCTTGCAAAAACCAACCCAGTTTCCAAGAGTCACCTCATAACAGCACTCCTTGTGTCCTCACTTACTTCTCCCTTCTGCACAAGTGATTTACTACTCTCTGTATCCTCACAGCTCTGCTCCTTCATACTGACTTCTTAGTTCTTTACAAATCAGTCTCTTGCTTTTGCTTGGATTTTGTTAGAGTAATGATGGCAGACTTGCCATCTTGCCATCAGCAACTAGAAATTGGACAAAATGAATGAAACAACTTTTTCAGACATTAGATTGCCAAGAGCACACAGTTGTGTTGCCTAAGAGAAGGCAAATAGGTCCTACAGTTGCCCCAGCATTCTGTCTGCAGATACTTTGTTGACTACAACACAGGGAGGGGAGGGAACCTGAGCAGAGCGGTCTTGCTGAGTTGAGAAGACAGACAGCATCACCGGAGAATGCTAGGACAACAGGAATGAACACAGCAGAGAACTAGAGAAGGAAGAGCCCTAGGGGGTCTTCCTGAGTCTTTGAATTCTGAGCCACACTTACATATTTTTTTGTTATATATATTTTACCTTCGCATTATGAGAACAAATATATATTCTGATACATATACTTAGAAAAGATAATATTAATAGGTGGTGGCAGTGGTATGGCTGACCTGAAATCCCTTATACTTAATTGGAATAGAAGTACATTTATAATTTAATAATGGATGTATCTCATGTGCTAGATTTGAATGTCACAGAAGGTAATAAAATTAGCCATTTTCCACTTTCCATTTTTACAGAGAGGACCAGAGAATGGCATTAAAACTGTTACACTACTCTTTATATTACAAACTAGTAGTAGAAGCACTGTAAATCCAAGATATACCCCTGCAATTTTTAACTCAGAGACTTGAAAATGAAGGCACAGCCAGGGAGGCTAGCCTCCTGTAGGCAGGAGATGTTTCTAAGGCTACCACAATATGAATGTGTAGGAACTAGAATCTTCTGAGTCATCATGACTCACAGTGCTACCATACAAAGCTTGAGAGCCCCTAAGATATTTGAGAATTACATAGTGAGATGATGTAATTAGTATTAATATCTTCCAATTTCATTCATTCATTCATTCATTCATTCATTCATTTATGAGAGGGACGGTGTGTGCAAGCAGGGGGTACACCTGTTGTGCAAAAAAGTGGAGGAAGAGTGAGAGAGGAGCAGAAGAAGAGGGAGAGAAAATCCCAAGCAGATTCCACCCTCAGCGTGGAGCCGGATGTGAAGCTCGATCTCACAACCCTGATATCATGACCTGAACTGAAATCAAGAGTTGGACACTTCCCCAACTGAGCCACCCAGGCACCCTGACCAGTTTCTGATATTTAGAGACTGAGGTGCTGTAGTAGGTTTCTCCTGACATCTGAGACTTCTAAACCTACCTGTCAGAGTCTACACATCTGAAATCCCTGGCTTAGCAAGCCAGCACACCTGGATTTCTGTAGCTCTGTCAGTCACATGCTCTCAAGTTTTGGCATTACAGTATTCTCCTAGTTCTTGGTTTTAGAGCACTAGAAGTCTTTTTTGCTTTTGTTGATAAATGGAAGCTTTTTGCATTTATTTATCTCTGTCCCATCACTAGCTTGAGGCATTTACAGCCCACAGTTAAGAGACTTTTGGAGTCAGAAAGACCTGGGTTCAAGTCCCACCCCTGCCACTTCATAGATACAGAACTTTTAGTATTTTAACTACATTTCAAATCCTTTAAACCTCAGTTACTTCGTCATAATAGCTAGCATGTATGTAGTATTGACTATGTTGGGCACTGTTTGGTTTTTTTTTGTTTACTTTTAAAGATTTTATTAAAAAAAAAGATTTTATTTATTTATTCATGAGAGAGAGAGGGAGACAGAGACACAGGCAGAGGGAGAAGCAGGTTCCATGCAGGGAGCCCAATGTGGGACTAGGTCCCAGGTCCCCAGGATCACGCCCTGGGCTGAAGGCAGCACCAAACCACTGAGCTACCCGGGCTGCCCATTGGGCACTGTTTTAAAACACTTTGCCTCTACTGCCTCCTTTACAGTACACAGCAACCTGTGAGGTAAGTTCTGTTGTGTCCTCTTTTACAAATGAGACACACTGAAGCTCTGATTAAGTAACTTGCCCAACATGTCTGATAAGTGGCAGAGCTAGAATTTGAATCCAGGCATTCTGTCCATTATTCCAAACTGATTCATTGATAAAATAGAGATAATTTTAACTTCCTCAAGAATTGTTGCTGGTATTGGGATGCCTGGGTTGCTCGGTGGTTAAGCGTCTACCTTCACTTCAGGGTGTGATCCTGGAGTCCCAGGATCAAGTCCCACATCGGGCTTCCTGCAGGGAGCCTGCTTCTCCCTCTGCCTGTGTCTCTGCCTCTCTCTGTGTGTCTCTCATGAATAAATAAAATTTTAAAAAAAATTGTTGCAGATATTGAATTATAAAATATGTAGATAGTGCTTAGCACATAATAAATCAATCACTCAGTAGATCGAATCTGTAAGAAATAATAGTAAAATTTTTCCCTTTATTTCAGTTCCACAGTTTTCCTTCACTGCTTTAGGTTATTAGTAACGATGTTATTTCCTTTCAGTCTCTTTGCTATAGTGCTTCCAAAAATCACTATCTTCTACAGCAGATTTGGAAATATATCCAAGTATATATCAATGGGGATGGTTTTTTATGCAGCCTTGTGTGAGACACAAACTTGTATATGCCCGGAGTGAGCATTACATGGCTTCTAGTCCTGTAATAGCATATATCTGGGGCAAAGAGGGCTAAATAAGTGATGTTATTATGTGGCATCTTCTCCTTGCCTAAAACCTGGCAGATTGTTTTAGCTTTAAAAACAGACACAGAGGGATCCCTGGGTGGCGCAGCGGTTTGGCGCCTGCCTTTGGCCCAGGGCGCGATCCTGGAGACCCGGGATCGAATCCCACGTCGGGCTTCCGGTGCATGGAGCCTGCTTCTCCCTCTCCCTCTGCCTGTGTCTCTGCCTCTCTCTCTCTCTGTGACTATCATAAATAAATAAATAAAAAAAAAAAAAACAGACACAGATGGAATCAGCATCTTATATCAATAGCAGAATACTTAATTATTCTCTGTATTTGTTGTAGCTGTTCTAAAGAAATCCCAGTGGTGGTTCTGCTGAAATTTGTTTCAGAAGGAGACAATATCCCAGATGCATTAGGTCTTGTTGAGTATCTTAATGAATGGCTTCAGATAATCAAACCATGTGTAAGTTTTACACTTTAAGCCTCTAATTTCTCTGGTTATGTATACACTTGCATTTTATATTCTATATAAGTGGACCAAATAAGTGAAAGTTTGTTAATATATAAATTGAGGTTTATGTAAAATTTAGCTTAATTAAATTTTTAAAAAGAAAAGGCATTTAACCAACAAGTTATCTACAGTTGTTTCATTAAGGCTGATTTTCCAGAAGGAAGACCTTAAGTACTTCATTGTATTGATTGTTCATGTTGCATTAATTATAGCAGACATTTCTTAGACGAATAAACAAATTTCTTTGCAATTTGGGACTTTTTTTCTTAAGGAAAGCAAAACCTCTTTATGTAATACTATAACTATTGAATATGTATTATAATTAAAATACTTTTCTGTATTACACCCAGGGAAATCAGTTAGCTTCTGGCATAATAGAAGTACCATAAGGATATGATAGGTATTGTCTTTTTAATTCATGCTTTTGCTAGGAACAAATTCATACAAATCATACAACACTGATATTATTATTATTATTATTATTATTATTATTATTATTATTTAACCCCTATTCCTTTCAAATATGGTTTTACTTGATGGACCTTTCTGGCATTTCTTTATGATTTGGAACCTAAGAAAATTTGTCTTCAGTTAATGTAGAGACATAGAAATTTATTGCTTTGTTTTTCCTTACAGTAAAACTCAGCTAAAAGTATCAAAACCAAAAAGAGCAAGAACTAACAAAAAATTAGAGAAGGGAGAGTCTTATGCCGCTTAAATGTTAAGAGGGGATTTGGTGGTAAAATGGAAGGATTAAAGTATTTTGTTCTTCATTTACAGTGTGATGACCCCACAGCATCTGCCTTGCAGTGGAAAATGCCGAGTTCGTGGAGATTACTCTTTGGCAGTGGTCTTCCCCTGCACTTTTCTGATCTGTTTTCAGTTTTATACATTATGTCCCAAGACACTTACTACCAACACAACTGTTAAACAACTATATCAAAAGTTATACTATCTGAGAATGTATGGGAAATAAATCTTTACTTTTCACAGAAAATCTCAGAAAATGGATTAAAAGTTGTTTTGCCATGCTTTTCACTATATACAACAAATGTAAATTTTGTACAATAAAATACTTCCTGATTTTGTCTGAAATGTGTCCTTTGTTTTGTTTTTTGTTTTTTAAACTCAGATTTCTGTTTTAGTTTCCTGTGTCAGCTGTAATAAATTACCAAAAACTTAGTGGTTTAAAACAACACCAGGGATCCCTGGGTGGCGCAGCTGTTTAGCGCCTGCCTTTGGCCCAGGGCGTGATCCTGGAGACGCAGGATCGAATCCCATGTTGGGCTCCTGGTGCATGGAGCCTGCTTCTCCCTCTGCCTATGTCCCTGCCTCTCTCTCTCTGTGTGTGACTATCATTAATAAATAAATAAATAAATAAATAATAATAAATAAATAAATAACTTTAAAACAACACCATTTATTATCCTGCAGTTTGGGAAGCCAGAAGTCCAAAAATAACAGAAGAATATTTAATTATTCTCTGTATTTCTTGTAGCTGTTCTAAAGAAATCCCAGTAATAGTTCTGAAATTTTTTTCAGAAGGAGACAGTACCCAAGATGCATTAGGTCTTGTTGAGGATTTTAAAGATTTATTTGTTTTAGAGAGAGAGTGTGTTAGTTGGGGGAGGATATAGAAGAAGAAGGCAAGAGAATCCTCAAGCAGATTCCCTGCTGAGCGCAGAGCCCGGTGCAGCCCTCGATCCCAGGACCCTGAGATAGTGACCAGAGTCAAAATTAAGAGCCAGCCGCGGGATCCCTGGGTGGCCGCAGCGGGATCCCTGGGTGGCTGCAGCGGTTTGGCCCAGGGCGCGATCCTGGAGACCCGGGATTGAATCCCACGTTGGGCTCCCGGTGCATGGAGCCTGCTTCTCCCTCTGCCTGTGTCTCTGCCTCTCTCTCTCTCTCTCTCTCTCTCTCTCTCTCTCACTATCATAAATAAATAAAAATTAAAAAAAAAAAAAGCCAGCCGCTTAGCCAGCTGAGGCACCCAGTGTTGAGTATCTTAATGTCTGTAGATAATCCACTGGGCTAAGATCAAATCTTCAGAAACCAATACCAAGGAAATCGAAAACTATGACAAAGAATTGAAATTGTCTTAAGAAAGCACAATGATCTACAAGAGAGCAACAACTAAACAAAATCAGGACAAGAATGAATGAATAAAACGAGACAATTTCAGTGAAGAGAAACTATAAGAACAAAACCGGATAGAATTGTGAAAAATTTATTAGGTCCAAGAGCAGATCTGGTCAACCTGAAGAAAAAATCAGCAATTCTGATCATTGAAATTAAGTCAGAGGAATAAAAAGAAAAAATAATGAAGGAAAATGGAGCAAGCCTAAGGGATCAATATATGCACTATGAGAGTCCTGGAAGGAGAAAGAGACAAAACTTATTTGAGGAAGTAATGACTGAAAATTTCCCTAATCTGGTGGAAGGAAATGGATATCCAAATTTTGAGAAGCTCAGAGGACTCTAAATAGAATGAAACCAAACAGCCCCGCAAACAACTATAGTTTAAAAAAAAAAAAAAAAAAAACTTGTCACATTCAAGTGAGCCCCCACAAGATAATGAATGGATATCTCAGCAGAAACCATAGAGCCCAGAAGGGAGTGAGATACTATATTCAAAATGCCGAAACAAAAAACTGGTCAATCAAGAATACTATTCTTCAAAAGTATTCTTCACAAATGAAAAAGAGCTCGACTTTTCCAGATAAGCAAAAGCTGAGGCAGTTCATCACCACTGGATGTGCCCTATAAGAAATGCTAGAGGGAGTCCTACCAGTTGAAGAAGATGTTAGACATCAACATGAAAGCATACAAAATAGAAAACTCTGTAGTAAAAGTAAGTAGGCAAATGCAGAGTCCTTTATCATTGTAATGGTGGTGTGTAAAGTACTTTTAGTTCTGGTATAGGTTTTAGGAGACAAAAGCATTAAAAATTACTATAAAACTATGTTAATAGCTTAATATATAAAGACATATCTTGTGAATCAAAAAGTGGGGGAGAAGGTGGAGAAATGTAAAAGAGTAGAGTTTTTGTGGAGCACCTGGGTTGCTCAGTCAGTTAAGTGCCAAATCCTTGGCTTTGGCTCACAGTCCTGTGATGGAGCCCACGGCAGGCTCTGTGCTTAGTGCAGAGTGTGCTTGAGATTCTTTTTCCCTTCCTTTTACTTCCCCCTCTGCTCCTCCCCTCATTCATGCTCTCTCTCAAACAAATACAATCTTTAAAAAATAGAGTTTTTGTATATGATTGAGATTAGGTTGTTACCAGCATTAAAATAAATTGTTATAACTATAAGCTGTATTAGGTAAGTCCTGTAGTAACCTCAAAGAAAATGTTACTAAACCCAAGTGTAGCTGCAGATTGCCTAAAAGATCATCACTCCAGACGATGTTTGATAGGAAAGGAATTTGAGCTTTATTCAAGAGACCAGCAACCTGGAGAGAAGGCGGATTCTTGCCCAAAAGCCAACTCTGGTTTCTGCCTGGCCTTGGAGTTTTAAAGGGGTTGGGTAGTTAATGAGTAAAGAGAGTGCAGCAGCAGCATCTCTTGATTACATGCAGACTTGATGATGCCAGCCACAAACATTTCAGTACTCGGGGTTGTGCAAGGGGATGTGGTTCTTTGTTTTGTGTTGTATAGGAATTCTCTGTTCTTTCTGCAAAGATGGACAAAATCTATAGCTACCCAAAGGGAGGTCAGTAAAATCATTTGTGTAACCTAAAAGAAAGAAAAACATTTTGCTAAAAAAAAATTTGGTGGGCTAATCGGAAAGCTGAGGTGGCTTCAAACAGACTTACTGGCTTCTGTGGCCTGGGAAAGTTCTGGTCTTCACTCCTCAAGGCCAGCGGTCTGCAAATCTCAAAGAAAGTAAATTAGTTCTATTACAGATCAAGTGTCTTAAGTCAGCAAGTGAGGGGTATGTTAACTTGAAGCAAGTTAACTCTTAAGACTGATGACTGGAGTGCTGTTACAGAAACACCTATAGAAGACACACAAAAGAAAATGAGAGGGAAAAAAATCCAAGTATGTCAACACAAAAACAATGAAACAAAGTGAACAAAAAGAAAAGAGAGACAAGGAAAAAAAACAACAGAATGGCAAGAGAGAGTGGTACAGATGTTCTGACTGCGCCTCCCACATTCTAACTCCTAAAGCCTTTAGCTAGACAAAAGAGAGAGAAGACTCAACTAAAATCAGAGATGAAAGAGAAATTACAACTGATGGCACAGAAATAAAATAGATTTTAAGAGACTGTTAGGAAAAATTATATGCCAGCAAATTGGATAACCTAGAAGAAAAGGATAAATTACTAGAAATACAATCTAGTAAGACTCAATCTGAAGCAATAGAAAATCCAAACAGACCTGTGACTAGTAAGGAGGTTAATAATCAATTACTAATCAATAATCAATTACCAATTCAGTCAAAAACTTCCCAACCAAGAAAAGCCCAGGACCAGATGGCTTCATTGGAGTATTTTACCAAATATTTAAAGAATTAACACCAATCCTTCTCAGACTCTTCTCAAAAATTGGAGAGCCTGGGTGGCCCAGTTGATTAGATGGCCAATTCTTGATTTTAGCTGAGGTTATGATCTCAGGGTCATGGGATCAGGCCGGCATTGGGCTCCACTCCTGGTGCAGACTTTGCCTCTCCCTCTCTCTCTGCTCCTCATATCTCTGTCTCTCTGTCTCTTTCTTCCCTCTCTCTCTCTCTTCCCCTGTCCCCCTCAAATAAATAAAATCTTAAAAAGAAAAAAACTCTTCCCAAAAATTGAAGAGGAGGGAACACATCCTAACACATTTATGAGTCCAGCATTACTCTGATACCAAAATGAAAGCTACAACAAAATGCAGATCAATATCCCTGATGAATGTCAATGTAAAACTCTTCAACAAAAAACTAGTAAGCCAAACCGATAGCACTTTCAAAGGACTATACACCATAAACAAATAAGATTTATCCTTGGAATTCAAGAAGAATGCCAAAAAAGAAAAGTAATAAATGTAACATTAACGAAAGGGACAAAAATCACATGATCATCTTAATTGATATAGAAAAAGCACTTGACAAAATTTAACATTCTTTCATGATAAAAACACTCAAGAAACTAGGAATAAAAGGAAAGTACCTAAACATAATAAAGGTCATATGTAACAAGCCCAGAGCTACCATCATATTCAATGGGGGAAAACTGAAAGATTGTCCTCTAAGGAATAAGACAAGGATGCCCATTCTTTACACTTACTCAACATTGTCCTCAAGTCTTAGCCAGAGCAATTGGGAGAGGATGGAAGGGTGGGAGGGAGGAAAAAAATATCCAAATTGGAAAGAAGGAAGTAAAAGTATTTGTTAGCAGATGGCATATTCTTACATGTAGGAAACCCAAAGATTCCACACAAAAACTGTTAGAATTGCTAAATGGATTCAGCAAAGTTGCAGTTATAAAACTAACACTCAAAATATCAGCTGCATTTCTATACATTAACAATGGACAATCTGAAAAGGAAATTAAGAAAATCAATTCCATTTACATTAATATCAAAAAGAATAAAATACTAATAAACTTAATCAAAGAGGAAAATGACTTTTTTCACTGAAAACTATGAAACAGGGATCCTGGGGGGCTCAGTGGTTGAGTATCTGCCTCTGCTTCAAGGCGTGATCTCAGAGTTCTGGGATTGAGTCCCACATCCGGCTCCCCGCAGGGAGCCTGCTTCTCCCTCTTCCTGTGTCTCTGCCTCTCTCTCTGTATGTCTCATGGATAAATAAATCAATAAAATCTTTTATAAAAAAGAAATTTAAGGGGATCCCTGGGTGGCGCAGCGGTTTGGCGCCTGCCTTTGGCCCAGGGCGCGATCCTGGAGACCCGGGATCGAATCCCACGTCAGGCTCCCGGTGCATGGAGCCTGCTTCTCCCTCTGCCTGTGTCTCTGCCTCTCTCTCTCTCTGTATGACTACTGTAAATAAATAAAAAAAAAATTAAAAAAAAAGAAATTTAAAAGATGCATATATAAATGGAAAGGCATCTTGTGTTCATGGGTTGCAAGATTTAATATTATCAAAGTGTCCATACTATCCA